AAATGGGCGAAAAAAAAAAAAAAACCCCCAAAGACAGGAAATTTTTTTTTACCCGGCCCAAAGCGGGGCCGGGCAAGGAAAATTTCCCCCCCCCCCCCCCCCCCCCCCCCGGTGTTTGCCATCGGGGGTTGGGTTTACGTTGTAAAACAAGCCGCCCCCCCCCGGTGTTTACCATCGGGTTGGGTTTTCGTCGCTTGGCAGCGATGTTGTAAAACAAGCCGATCACTTCGTGAGCTCGGCAACCAGGTTACCACTTTTTTTTTTGCCTTTGGTTTTATTTTTTTTTGCGGTAACCATGAATGGTGGTCGAGTAGATTATGTTGTGCGTTGTGCGGGGTCGAGAACCCTCACTCCGCGCAAAGGGGATAGTCGCACCACGTTGTGTTGAATTGGTCAAGCACCCTCGAGGCAGTTACACAGTACTTGCAACTGTCTCTGGAAGTGAAAGCACCAGAAAATAAATGAAGTCATACGCAGCTGTCATTCGTACGCAAGGAAGTAAGCACAAGATGCCGAACACCCTTATCAGGAGGCAGCGCACCCTTCATGCGACTCGTCAAATACCTCACGGCGCTTCACGCTTGGTGATATGAGAGCCGGGTCCGGTGAGAACCCGGCGTGCTCCGTCCCGGCTGTGTAGGGATGCGAGGTCAATGGTCTAACGATTACGGCATGCACGACTATGAGTACGCCCCGCCCCCCCGCCAAATTTACTTTGACTCCATCTTTTCCTTTGCTCTCCTTCGTGGCGACCTTCTCCCGCTGTACGCTTCTGATCCCCAAGTCTACAAATCGATGGTCTGCAAGTAGGACATGATCAACCTGAGATGCTATAGCTCCAAGAAAGAAGTCCATCTCACCGCTTCTTAAGCTGCATCTGAGCGACGTGGTCGCCCCCCAAACCGAGCGCCGCATATCGTTTGCTCCGTCTCGCAAGTGCCCGGCTACGCCTCCCTCCGCCCAAGGACCCTTCCTCTGCTGCCGTTGATCCCTTTCGGCAAAAAAACACCCAAGGGCCGAAACACGGTGAAGCCAGGTTCTCTTCTAGGGCGGCCCTCTACCCCCAAAAACTATCAGCATACGGATAAATTGTGGGACGAAGTCTGCATATGCTCACGTAAAGTCGTTGGCAGGCGTTGTTCTACTGCAAACTGTCAACGCATCTCTTGAAAACGGCTACTGCAGACGAAAACGGACGGACAAAACATCGATCCACAACGCTGTTGTAAACACGGACAACAGGAAACTACCACGTAACAACATTGGCCCGAAACCAAGAACCATGAGAGGAACACGGAAGGGGAACTTTGCATACTAATCTATTTCGAGATACACAAGACCGACAGGTGAGCATTGACACTACCAAAGCTGCTTCTGAAACGACCGAGCAGAAAAAACCTCACCACATCGCCGTCGTCCGTTTCGCCAGAGCAAGCCAGGTCTCCCGCTTCGCTGTAGAGCTTGGATACCTCATCGGAACCCACGCTCTCGGCGTCGCTCAGCCAATCTGCCTCGCTGTTGTTGTCGCCGTCGCCGTCGCTGTCGCTGTCACTGTCGCCGCTGTGTTCATCGCCATCATCGCTACCCCTACCGCTATCACTACCGCTGTTATCGCTGCGGCTTCCTTTTCTTCTCCTTCGCTTGCCTGCGGCGGTTTCGTCCTCGCTTTCGCTGCTGCTTCCCTGTGTATGGGGATGGGGTAGGTAAGATCATAGACGAACGAGGGGGTAAACGATGACATCGTCACATGCTGAGCCACGAAAAATATGTGGTCTGGGACTCAAAGTCTTACGAACTAGCCAGTTCTCTCCGACTGCACCCCAAGCACACCGCGAACAGGTAATCTACAATCAAGCAGCGATTATCGTTCCCCTGCACTACCTTGAAGCTCTCATCGTCGTCTTCGTCTGAATCGGTCGGCAGAACGTCTTGCTGACCGGCTGCACCGCCTTCCGCCCCCGTTTCCACCACCGGGAAAACATCTTTCCATGATGTGAACTTTTCCCCCTGCTCAAAATACGTTGGGCCCGGTAGAGAAGCAAGTGTACATGAAAAGAGAAAAGAGGGAGCGAGGAAGCAAGGGTGGACAGGTGTCATGATCAGTAAACCGTAGGCGGGGAGCACGCACAGTCACCTCGCGAAAAAGGCAGAAAGTCAAGAATTGTCTTGGCATACTCCTCGGGAACAGACATAGTTTTCGATAACCCGCCCGGGGTCTTTTCTTCCTCCACAATCTCCCGTCAACCGGCGAGAATTTCCGGACGTTTGCTGGCGCCAGCTACAGTATCACAGTACGCGCACCGCACGCATGGGACTTACCAACTCTGACCATCCTATCCCGACTCTCACAAGTTAAAGGTGAATCCAGTACGTCCACCGTGTTTGGCGAACGTAAACGCAAGACTGAAAACACAATACCTGGAACTCGTTCTCAAGCATCTCGAAGCAATCCGTGAGACACTCGCACTGCCAGCAAAACCAGTCCTCTTCCTCCTCGGGAAACACTTCGGGCTTGATGGGAGGCGATAGACAGTTCTGGTGGTAGGCCCTGAAGCACCCGGCGTAGTCACAAAGCAAGATGTCGTCATGGTCATCCGAGTCTCCTTGGCCGCACCTGCCAGGGGTCCAGCACGCCGCGGGGGATGGTGTAAGGGTAGAAAAGTAACGAACGGGGCCCAGGCGTTAGAGGATCGGGCCAATCCAGGGTTCTGCAACTCTGTACGCCGTTTGGCGTGTAGTCGATTTGATGGTACGCATAGCAACGCCGAGTTGCTCCTAATTGCTCCAGGTGGGAAAATCGACCCAAAAGTAGCGGCAAGAAAAGAGGGTACCATCCGATTCTCTGGAACCCCTCTTAAGTTCGCTTTTTTGCTTGAGTCCATCTTGGTTCACGACCTTAGCCGCTGCCGGTGCTCACAGCACAGACCTCGACTTGTCACGAAAACCAGCTGACACCTCAGAACAGCCACGTCCCATGTGTGCAAGCAGTCTCAGGTCCTTGATGTTGTGTTAAAACCGGAGAAATGTTGTAGCATCGCAACTGATAATTGTCGGTGTGCTGTATTGGAAAAACTCCTACTGGAGAAACCTTTGGGGATATGGCGCTCCTCGAATCGAATGTGCGTGAGAACATGGCGCACGCCATGGCAGGTGCACAGTAATTGAGATTTCAACGTAGTTGTCCCCGCAACGGGAAAAACAGGAAAACGCAGGAGTAGGAGGTACGCAGCATGTTACCCGGCGAAACGACGGCTCACTGCAAGTCTATCCAAGCACCACCATACAGGAAACGCGCACAAACGAAGCTCACTTGGTACACATGATCTCGTCGACCTCGATGTTGCCCTCTCCGTCTTCCTGTATCGCTCCCCATCGCAGGCCACCGGGGTTCATCTCGGTGAGGCGCCGGGTTACTTCTCGCAGCTCCGCTTGTATCCCCCGAATTCTCTCTCTCGCCTGAATGACAAGCCAAACACAGCATCCACCTGGGTGAAAAACAAACAACTATCGCCAGGCTACCAGCATCCACGCGTGCGTATAAGCCTTGAAGCACTTGGCACTTCGTACGAGCATATTGCGAATTGTTCAGGTTGTACGTATTTGTGTGAGACATGTGAAGATTGTCGCGAGTCAAGTCATGGAAGGAAAAATCGTGCTACCAATATCGGCGGCAAAAATCCAGCAGCAACAACATGACAGCGGTAGAAACAACACCAAAACGCGCATACAGTGAAAACCTAACGAAGAATGCTTCCCCAAAGCACCGGGATGTCACGAACCACAGGCGAGCAGATCTTCCGCCTTGCCTAAGTAAATCATGCAGAGTCCCCCGTGGTTTTTCAGTAAGTAACGCAGCCAAGCACACACCAGCAAACACACTTCAAAATACTCGAAGTTGTACAATATTTGAAGGGAATAGACACACCATGACACAGAAAGGCCGGGGAGGGGGTAGAGGAAGCAAAGCGCGGAGGCTGCTGTTGTAGACTACAGACCAAAGCAAGAGAGCTACAAACCCGCAGCCGTCGAAATGGCGCCACACCCACCTTCTCGAGTTCGGCTGTAGGTTTCAGCTTCTCCCTGCCGCTGCTCTTCCATCCATCCTGCTGGTATACCTGTTGTGACCGGAAAAAAATGACCCCAACAAACGTCAACGTTAGACGTGTCGCCAGAATGCGAGTTACCGTAGCGTTAGGCATAGCTCTTATGGGGTGCTGGCGTGGGGAACGAGGAGCGACGGACGGACACTACCCAATCTCCTTCCTCAGAGTAGTCGTGCTCCGTGTAATACAGGACAAAAACAACAACAACATCCCACCACCACCACTACCACCACCACAAGTCATGGGAAACCATGCATACTTTCGGGCTGAGTTACGGGTTGATGTGGCTTTTCGAGATTGCCAAATGCAAGAAAAAATCATTACTCCTTCCACCATTGCCTACTACTGGTGCAAACTCGCTCCTACAAATACCAATACTGTTGTAGCTGTCTCTTCCAGCAGTCGTCACCTGGAGGAAGTGGGTGTCTCTCCGCATCTTGTGCAGCAAAAGCTTGAACTTGGCGCGGATCCTATCCCATCGGTTTTCCCCATCACTGGCGTTTCGAGAACGCTTCCTGTAGGTGCGACACGGGTCATCGAACACGAAAAATACTTTGTTCGGGGGGGGTTCTGGTTGTTTGGCCACGAAGGGGGGATGATTAGTTCCCCACTCACAAGCTCCCCACTCATAGCAGCGGGAGCGAGGTACAGCACCACGGGTATTTTATACCAAATCACACGCAAGATTTCCGTGCCGTATCATGGGCGCACACGAAATCTATGCGCTAGACAACCACAAAAACCTGGAACACTCGCCTGTGCACATCGCTCCCAGCCCCTTCAGCCGGGGGCGTGTCCTCGTCCGTCAAGAGGTCTTGGAAGCCACTCCGTTTCTGCGCATCCTTGCGTGGCCTACCCCTTCCGCCATGCTTGCGCGGCCTACCGCCTTTCCGACCGCGCGGCTTCCCCGAGTCGGCTTCGGGTGTGAAAACTGCCCGCGATTTTACCGTCCTGTAACGGGTTGAACGGCCGTGTCAGCGGGCGATTTTTGGTGTGGCTACAGAACAGCAGTATCTCGGCAACTAATCTTCTCAGGGCGCCGCTGCAGAGTATGTATACCAGGGTATCGCAAAACCACCGCCCCAGAATAGCAAGGGTTCTACATATAGCCTAATAGTACATGGTACACCTCACGCCCCCAATAACACAGGATTCGGTAAAATGACAGCAGTACATGCCCGTACGCTGCCGTATGGGCTAGTACAGCAGTGTACAAATAACAAGTGTACTGCGGTAAGCCCTTTGCAGATGTTGGCGAAAGTAACCACCCAGTGTCCACGGCGAGCTCAGCCCACCTCTGTCCGACATGTACACCGAATTTTTGTGGTGGGTGAAGAACTGGGTAGAAGCCTACATACAACAGTAGTTAGGGACCGCACTCCACTATTGTTGCCCGGGAACCTGACAACAGCAGTTCGGCTCCTTAGCTGCTGGACTTCGGAAACGAAATGCGTAATGAGATGCATATAGACTAAGGCGTTCAAATCAGACCTTCTGTCTACCGATCACACCTTCAGTCACACAGTCCTACCGGCCTACCGGAGTGGCAAACATTATCCCATGCATATTTACCTCGTTCGTCTGCTCCTGGCTTGAGGACAAGCACTGCCGGGAGCATCAGCAGCGGCATCGCTCCCGGCTTGAGAAGAGGGTTCGACATTGAGGGATGAAGCAGCCCGAGCAGGCACATCTCCGCTGGAGTACCCCGAATCTCGCGCATCGGACGAAGAAGGAGCAGAGCGTTCGTCATCTCCACGCGGATTAGGCGGCAAGCGGAAGGGAATTCCGAGGGACGGCATCTGCGACGTCGGTCCAACGATCTCCCACACTAGTGGTGTCCTCCGTCCGTGCGGAGTCAATGTAGTGGAGTGGCTACAACGACGAAAATGTACTCGGGGGGCTCTGCGGCAAAAACTCACCCACCCCCGCCTATTGCATTTAGCCGAAACGCTCGTTCGACAACGCCGCCCTCCCGCACATGTTGGCGTCCGACAATCAATGGGTTGCTTTTGCTGTTACCCAAGTGCCTTGCGCGCATATGTCACATGTGAATAGCAGCGCAGGAAAGAGTTACAACATTATCAGAAAATGGAGGGGAGGCACAAGAGAGGCAACCATGCGGCATCGGGAACATCGATGTCCAAACTCCGTGAACTCCGCGAGCAGGTATTTTACATGATGGAGGTGCCCCGATTGTCCCTGCGGGCTGTCCAGCATCCAGCATTTGAGTTGCTCAGCTGATGCCCCTGGGTTTGACCGCAATTATTAAATGTTAATGATACTTTTTGGTGGAGATTTTGGCACCATACTGCAGTAGACTACACTGTGCACAATATACAGCACAGCAGCAGCAGCAGTAGTCAGCAGACCGTGTGGTTTCCTCCGTGTGATGATAACATACAGCGAACCAAAATACTGTATGTATGTGGAGTAGACCATACTGCAAGTATCATGTTTCTTCGTGCGTTTGACATCGCTAGGGACGACGTTCGTCCTATCCTCGATGCAGCTCTCACAAACCTCTCTACCCTCCTATTTTACACTTCGCTAGCAACGGAAGTCGATTTAACATTTGATTGCATGGCATCTCGCCAGATAGCCCGGAAGGAGGTGGAAGTGGACGATGTGGTAACACACGCGCGGCAAGGAAGCGACCGACGAGTCCTAGCGACCCGCGGAAGATGCGCAGCTGAAAATGAACTAGAGGAGGCACTACTCGAGCTCACGGTAATAAATTACGGGGTGCGGATACACAATGTATTTTGTAGGTATGCATACAAGTCTACATAGTTTTGTGGCCACTATTCGAGTTAAACACGACGTCCGACTCAAAGAGCCCCGCCCTTCAATCCTCTTGACAGAACCATGTAAGGTCCATACATACTGTGTAGATCTCTGCACTTTGGGGTGCGTGGGGATTGCCGTGGCGGGAAAACACCTAGACAATACGTGCTCCATCCATGAAGAAGAAGAATTTTGAAAGAACAAAGCACAATTAATTGTAGGATCCCGGGTACCATATGAATCGAGTCGAGGGCTACCCGCGAGTGCTTTGTAGGTTCGCCCTTCCATGTGACAAACAGTCAAAGCCATCTACGACCATATATTGTTGTCCTTTATGGTAGATGTCAGTTTCACGCCTTTCGGTATGTTTCGGGCGCACCAGCGGGGGTCACACTGGAGGTTTGTTGGCTTCTGGCTTCTCCACGTTCGTGCCGCGGTCCTTGCACATATTTTTCGCGAGAAGGATTCAGCCATCCGGTTCTGTCCTTGATCGTGATGGTCGAATCTTGTGTACACAGGGCCTCTAGGCGTTATCCATTTGCTTTGGCAGGAAGTGACAAGAATCCCGCTTTGTGAAACCTCGGCAAAACTACGTACAACGCCAGAAGATTGTGGGGTTGCCCGCGATCCTACCGTGACGACGTGAGGTTGCCATGCTTCAGAAACAAAGTTGGTGGAGTCAATACCCATGCAAATGACTGACGCACCCGGGTTCGCGTACAACAAAGGCAGGCCCTCCAGGAGCGGGGCCGTGCTTCAGTTGAGCTCTCGTCAAAGGCTAGCCCTTTGCTGAAGCAGGACATCAGCACCAAACGGCTGGACCTCCTCGCCGCCAGCCCGCCCTTTATTCTCAAGCTGGAGCACGCTTTGGTTACCGTCGCAAAGGCGGATCAAGCAGGTCCGGAACCGCGAGCACACACGACGAGGTTCGCTGTTGTGGTAGCATATCGTTTTCTTCGGCACTTTCGCCAGCTTTTGATCACGGATCCTGGTACGCGTTGCGGCAACCGACCCCTACCAGGCCGATCAAGGGGCTCGTCCTCCAACTTCTTTGTAGCACATACTGTAGTCATATGCATGGGCCAGAGATTCAACCGTCTAAGCCAGTAACAGCACGTCCAAAAGTCATGCTGAAACAGTTCCCAGGTCTTAAAGTCAAAGGTGACAAGCACTTTGATTAGCGACGCGGAAAGCCTGATGACACTGAAGAGCTTGTCTTCGGTCGAGGAATCATGGCATGAATCGTCGCATTCAAATATCGTTCGTACAGCAGGTGGAGGTCTACCTTGAAGAGCCTCATGAAGGACGCCTCAGACGGCATCGACAACTTCAAGCAGCTTTCCGGCCGCGAAAAAACGAGCAAGGCGGTCGAGCAGGAACTCGCACTAGCTGCGGCTGCGGCCCGGCGTCTATCCCTGCACGTCAACGCCTGGACCACGGCCGAACTCTTGCAAGAACTCGAGCGCATATGGCTCCAAGCTGTTCGAGCGGAGGCGACAATAGACTCACAGTTTCGACACGTTGTTACGGAATGGGAAGCCGCCTGCGCCGCTCTCTCCCGGTTGTCTCGGACAGCTCAAGAAGATTCGATCGCCGGACAGGCAGAGCGGCATGCCTCTGCAACCAGAATCCGCGACTGCCAAATTCGAGCGGGTGTCGGATCAAAGGCTGAGAAGGCCGGGTGGTGGAAGCAACGACAGATGCGTTTTCTACGGGAAGAGCTGAGGCACATTGAGCGCAAGGTTGCTCCATTGGCCGATCCGTCCCACTTAGCGGCTAGGTCAGTGTTTTGAGATCGATCAGGATGGGGGACCGAAATATGAAGAGCGGGGGCGTGGTACATGCAGAAAGAACCGACGAGTTGTACCTTTCCTGCCAAGATTTGGTCGCGAGCATATCCCTGAAGCATTGGTAGCGTCTATCATAAGGTATGCGCCCCCCGAAACACCTCCTGCCGCCCTCCCTGCCCGTCACCCTTTCTATGCAGATACAACCTCCTGCTAGTAAGATGCGCAGAGGTGGGGGGGTGGGCAACAGCTGTTTCCGCCTACCGATCAGCAAGAGCCCGAGGCGTCATCACCAAACCCTTGAGCAATAGGCGAGACGCGGTTGGTTCGTTCTCGCTGGAACCTTTGGTCTACCAACACCTTCTCCGTGCGGCCAAGAATGCGACCCCCCCCCAACCTCGCGCGGCTCTGCTCGTGCTGCGAGAAATGAGGCTCAGAGGCGAAGAGCCTGCGGCCACGCACTACAACCTCGTTGTCAGCGCATGTGCTCGGGCTGCCGCTGTCGCGGCATCCACCTCGGCCCTGATGCCGTTAGATCGTGATGACACTGAGGGCCACGCGGTCCTTTGCGAAGACCGCTTATACCAGGGTATTGGGGGCGCTGACGGACACAAGAAGGAAGGAAATTGTGGTGCTATTCACCTAGAAAGTGACAGCAGCGGTGGGGTCGTGGCCACGGAGAACGAAACGCCCAAGCCCGCAAAACTTTGCAGCGGTCATGAAGAGGGTGTAGAAGAAAATATGCGGTTGAAAGGGACCGCCTTTGGCGCCAAAGTTGATGTCGAAGACCTCCCAGACCGTTGTTGCTTACTGCCAACGGCAGGCGATGCCGTGGAGTGTCGAGGGGCTGAAGCTGCCGGAGAGACCTGGCGGCTAGCCTTGGACGTGATCGCAGACATGCGCAAGAGGGGAGTCACGCCGACGCTTGTGACGTTCAAGACACTGGTAGAGTGTTGCCGCTGTGCTGCAGCAGCGTCTGTGCTTAACATAGGCGGGGGTGAGGGGTTGGGGAAGGGTTCTACCCCAGCAGAGGTGTACACTGCGTTGAAAGAGGCTGGGATTCCGGCACGGTTCTGCTATCAGGCCGGGTTGAGGAACGCATTGAATGGAGGAAGATGCTTCCCGGGGTATGTCGCTGAAATCAGTAGATGATGCTGGTATGCGTTGTTTATTGCTATCAAGAAGCGTTTTAGAGTCGACCAGGTAACACCAAACAAAACATTGGATAAATTGCTCTGGGAAGCCACGCCGGTTTACTGAAGTATTATCCAAGGTATCGGATATCGATCGCTACATGCGCTACCACCAGTCACTTGCTGTTTACTTGAAAATCTTGCTCCCTTCGCATGAGTTTCGGCGTCGTAGGTGCTATTCTTGATCATTCATAGTTCCAAATCGTGGTACCGAAGTCCTCAGGTCTTAGCAGTAGTTGGTTTTCCTACGACGTTATAACTCAACCGCCGAATAAACGAATTAGGGATGTGCGCCATAGTATGACCCAGCACAGGAGCTCTTTCTTCAGTCCAGTTCAAAAGCGAGGTGGTTCTTCAAGGAAGCCCACCCTCGCCCTCCGCCCCCTCGATGGTCTTCTCGTAGCTGTAGGTCCCGTTCAAGTGCCGTAGTGATTTATGACAATAGCACACAGTCAGGCAAGGCATGGACGGAGTTGTCAAAAAAGTAGTGCGAAGCTTTTCTAGCCAAATATCCTCCGGTCACGTGCAGTCGGTTCAACGGGCTGCATTAGGAGCACCTGTCAAAACCGAAAGGGTATAGACAACCTCGAGAAGAGAGCAAATGCCAAAAATACGAAAAATCTTGCAGTGATCGTAGTCTCGATGTGGTATTCAAAGGTATGATGCCGCTCTCGGGTTTGTTTTCGTTTGCGTAACTTATAACCAATCATGCGTATTTACCGGGCGAATGTCCGAGGGTTCACCTGTCCAATCATTCTTAGAAGTAACCCTCCCTAACCCTCATCATCTCTGAAACGTCATCCAGTTGACATGGAGACGACGCACGGAAAGATACAAGATCACACAATTCCAAATTTCAAAATAATTGACTCGACGGAACCCGCGATAAGCGCTTGGTGTGAGTTACGAATCACGCATGGTGGCGAGAAAATAATCAATTTCATGTATCGTGGATGTCACTCACGTTTCGTGGAAACTTGTCGCCATATGGTGGAACGGCGCATCGATACCTTTCGCCCCCGCTGCAGACGTTTCGAAGTAGTCTAGGCCATTCTGAAGGGCGAATAGTCGCCCCTCCTGCAAGCGGGCATGTGGCAATGCCAAACCGAGGAGATTCGGCAGGAATCCAGAGACAGAAGGGAATGCACTGTAGAAATGTGTAGTGTCGAGGTACCCTTTACCCAAGGGTCGTCTGCACGTTTAAGCCTTTGTGCAGTTCCAGACAGAATTCTGTGTAACGTTCAGACCAAAGTCTGTGCAGACCGAAGTCTGTTGAGGCAGCGACCGAAGTCGATGTTGTTGCTAAATGCCGCTTCTGGGACTTGTACTTCTCAGTCTTGTTCACTTCACAGCTTACTTGCAAAGTTGAGATAGTGAGGGATAGTTGGGACTGAGCCTAGTGGGGCTCGCAACACCTCGTGATCTCGCTACAATTATCATCCTCTGATCAACATCAATTCATGCACGAGCTCCTCGCTATACCTCGTCGCTACATGTTAAACCAAACGCCGTTTATCATACCGCATCTGTACGTATCATTGCATACAGCAATCACACGACAGCGTCTATCTTACTGCACACACCCTACCGCAGTATTGCTCTGTATTTCAACACGCCCCCGTGATGGATGCAATGTTACGTGCGCTTCAATAACCTCATCGCTGTTCTAAATGTACTCCACAAGTCCTGCAGGTCTGGTACCTATTCCATTTGTACTCCTGCATTGTACACGCCCCCATATATAGGTATGGATGTTCTTCAACAACTACCTCTCAGTTGTTTACCTTCTCATTTATTTATCCCTCTACTTACGACCGAATTTATTTCCACCATTCTGTCTCTTAATAATTTTGACCGCAGAATCTATCACTGTACCCAACTTATCTTCAACCAAGTTCTTCCACTTGGTTTCAGCTACACTGAGTGCAGTTTGTTGCAATTCTTGTGTTACTTCATCCAGTTATTCGGACACCTTGTTATTCACCTACACTCGTTTGTTTCTCCACTTCTTCCTTCATACTCTGCATAAGCAAATCCCTGCAGTAGACTTGTCCTTGTTCTTGACATAGTTTCATGATTTCTCCGTTGAGTCCAGATATCTCCTCATAGTTGGGACTCGGCTTAGCATTTTTCCACTGCTTGCTGGTCCACATCCTACTGATGGTTGTGAACCTCCCTGCCGCGAACATCACTTGTTCCAGCCGCAAACATGCACATTGCACATGTGATGTTTGCGGCAGGAAGGTCTACAACCATCAGTAGGATGTGGACCAGCAAGCAGTGGAAAAATGCGAAGCCGAGTCCCAACTACAAGGAGATCTCTGGACTCCACGAGAAATCTTAAAATTATGTCAAGAACAAGGACAGTTCTATTGCAGGGATTTGCTTATGCAAAGTATGAAGGAAGAAGTGAAGAAACAAACGAGTGTAGGTGAACAGCAAGTTGTCTGAATACCCGGAAAAAGCAACACAAGAATTGCAACAAACTGCAATCAGTGTAGCTGAAACCAAGTGGAAGAACGTGGTTGAAGAGAAGTTAGTAGTGACATCATAGATTCTGCGGTAAAAATTATTACTTCGAAGTTACGCAGAAAGAAACTTGGTGGAAAGAAATTTCTACATGGGTGGAATGCTCTGTATTTCAACATGCACCACATCGGATTGGACGCCGGAAAAAGTGCCGAGGCTTCGCGCAAGTATTGCGATGGGGTAGTTACATGAACGTGAGTTGGGCGGATGCCACTTTACTCTCAAAAGTAACAAACAGGGTACTTGCCTTGGTTTCGACGACGGCCCTGGCATTGATACCCCCTTCCCTCAAGTCCGACTTGTTGGCGATTACAACCCCCGGCAGGGGTGCCGACGTGGTTGGCAGGGCCGCTCGTACTCCCTGCAGCCACCGCCCACAGCTTTCAAAGGAATCCCTGTTGCTCACGTCGAATACCACACACACAAACGCTGCGTTCTCGTAGTATGCCGCCCCCTTTATGCGGCCGCCGACAACAAGAAAACAATTGCCAAACAACAGTGCGGCGTCACTAATTCGGGTTTCAGCATCAAGTTAAATTGGCAACTGCAGTGCCGCAGGTCTTTCGTTGCGTGCATTCGATAGTTCGAAATTCTCAGGTAGACAAACCCTCCTACTTTCTCTAACTAACAGCAGTTAGGGCAAACAAGACCCAACTGCTGTGTACCGTGCTGTAGAGACGGGCGAGAAAGACTGCAACCTATAAGTCAGAAAACGTTGCACCATGCCATGCACGCTCCCCCGCATTGTCGATCCCCTCACTAACCTGTTCAAGCTTGTTGAAAACTCCTTGTCCAGGGCAATCGAACAGAAACAGCTCTACCACGCAGTCCGTCTCGGGAACTTTCACCTGCTTCACTCCAAAGTCTACCCCGATGGTCTGCGGGGTGTGTGTGGTGTTTAGGGTCCACGTCGACGATAAATATCGCATTGGGTGCGAGAGTGCATAGAGAATTGGGGAATACTGGGACAAGCCCATAACAGCTGTAGTATTATGTAGATGAGTGAATATTACCGCTAGTCTTAACAGTGAGCGAAAAATGTGAAGTGCATCAACTTGTCTGGAGTACACAATGCATGCAGTTTGCCTTGCACAACTTGCTTGTGTGTACCATACTCCGATAGTGGGCAATATTCCGGGAGATCCAAACCCAAACCAAAGGTTAAGTGTGATCTCCCCTCCTGCTGCACATATCGCATGTTGACCTGATGCATATCAACAAACCCTTCGAAAGACATCGTACCACGGTCGCGTACACCGCAACAACCCGCACGCAGCATGTGTTGCACCGAGCCAAGCGTATGTATATGCATTCCCACTCCTGTGAGTCGATGAAAATAATGAAAAATGTTGTTAGGCCATACGTAGATAGACAACTAATTTCCGATGAGGCCTCGAACAGCAGTACCTCACCATGATGTAGTTCTTTGGGTAGTCGTGGCCGCCACTCTTGAACATCTGCACCACCGATGTTTTCCCCACGCAAGCGTCTCCGACAACAACGACCTTGGCTCGAAGCATCAACGTCGTTCTGTGAGTTGTTTGCATGCTGCGGACTCCGCTCTGGGACGGTGCCGCAACGGACCCCGACAAAATTGTGTCAGCCCGAGACATGGCTTTCTCCGCCCGAGGGAAGAATCGTTGTCAACACTCTCAATGCGGATGCCCAACAAGGGTCACAGGGCGTGCACCGACGCAAGCCACGCAAGATCCGGATCCTGCTGCTTTTGTTGCGCCGCACAGGTTTGTCCTTGAGTTACCACCACACCAGGACAAGATCCAAGAATTTCCACGACAAGGCTCGAGTCAAAACCACGCTCAAGGTATACGGTGCTGTGAGTGCGTGCGGGGTGCATGTGGTGCATCGTGGGAGACGGAAACCCCTTGCCTCCACTCTCCTCTCTCCTCGCCGTCCCCCATCAGCTGTCCCCCATGGCAAGGTTTCGTAATACTTGCATGGCGCATACATATTTTTACGGTTTCGTTTTTTTTTTGTTCGGAGAGGCCGACGAGAGAATCAGGAGAAGGGACATATCTGACAACTTACAACGTGTGCTGATGTGTTGCGAACTGCGACCCAAGCGACTACACGGGGCAAGGCATCAAGTGTGTACGCTGTGCTTTTGACCATTGATTCATTCTACATGTGTATGAAACAAAGCGAGAACAAGAAATATATCTTCTCGGAGTCGTATGCATGGTCCGACCAAAAGCAAGCGAGATAACTACCATCCGGATCCCGTCTGTCGTGCCCCCAAACAAAACAAGCAAGGGCTGCACGAGATTCCCCAGCGGTTCAATTCCGCCGGCACGCTTGCTTGACCTAGGGGTCATACACCTGGCGATTCGTCTAAACCGAAGCCCAACGTGGTGGTGCTACTGTACTGCTGTAGCTGTACCATTGTCGACAAGCCGTGAGCCAACTGATGCATCCAAGAAGATTGTCCGTCGCGAGCGGTACAGCTCTGAAAAGTTTCCAACGGCGGCATCCCTGGATCCAAGCGGCAGCAATATTAGCTTGCTGGTATATCACCAAAGTACATGCACATACTCTTCGACTCAGGGTGCAACCCGGCAGGGCGGTCGGTGGGGAAGCTTTCTTGGAGCAGCCGCAGGTGGAAATCTTGGAAGGCGATGGTGGAGATGTCGACGTCCTATTTGAGGTGAATGTGTTTCCAACAACGCAGCTACCGTCCTTGTTGCACTTAGCCTTGTGATTCTTGACAGTCTTTAGTTATCACGCTCAATGTTCGGCCGTAGTGGTAACATATTGAACTGACGGTCGTTTAGGGTATTGCACCTGTTGGGATGCTTTGGAGCGGGACTCGCGAATATTACGATAGGTTGCAGAAGATTCCACCCGCCCTCTGGCCCGTTCATCCGAGCTAATTTCCCACGAAGAATGCTAGTCTAGACTATAGCCTTTGTATCTTCGAGAGCTCTCGGCGAGAAGGGTCCCATCGCCGCCTTTTTGACGTCGCCATTGTGGTTTGCAGAGTATCCGAGCCTAGGACGTGCCGTATGTGTTGTGCAACCCATGGTACATGAATGAACGAGTGAATTGCACACAGAGCTACATCTGCATCCTTGTCTTTGGTTGGTGGGTGCTCTTACGGGTACAAGGGCGCCACCTGATACTCTTTGTAAGTGTAGGTCGCGTACAGAAATAGCAGGAATGAAATGAGAAATACCCACAGTTCTGTTTTACTCCCGTTGCCGTACTAGATAGCGTGTACGGTGGATATCTAAAGGCGAGTGCAACATGTATGTGGAGGTCCAGCAACACGGTGTACGAAGCAAGTCCAACGTAGGGCATATGCATAGCAAATTACGTTCGTTTCGAGGAGGCGATTTATAAGCCACCACCACACCACCAACATGCACCGTGATATCTTCGTACACGCAAATTCGGCGTAAACTGAAGCCAGAACTTTCGCTCTATTTGTCCACCAACCGCTCAATGTTCGGGCAGGGGTACGCAACAGCTGAGATGATATCTAGCCCGAGTGGGTTCTCCGTTCTTGAGTACGATAACATCACCGGTCGAGGCAGCACCGCGTCTCTCACGGACGGGATGGGTCGTGCAACCTTTTCAGGATTGTTCATCAAAGAGGCTGGCGAGGGTTTTATCTGTCGTTTTGTGGCGTTCAACAGTGCGGGTGTTGGAGTAGCCTGGACCGATTCTGAACCCTTTGACGTTGGAGTCGGCGAACCGTACGCCATTGCCTTGAGTACTTCTGTGGGGCGAATGGACGGAGGCTCTACCTTTGACACTCCCCCCGTCATATCCATTCAGGTGGGTTTCTGGGTCCGATGTAGCCATCTACTGTAGTCGAACATCTTGACAGACTATAACAATAGCAGATTTCTCGTCGAATATGGGCAACGCCATAAAATCTCCAAAGAGAAAGCACTGTTTCGTGCTCAAGAACAAATGAGAGACACCTGTGTGGGACCTGAAGGTTTCTTCCTTTGGGGGTCCTGTAAGGCGAGTTTGCTTCAACTTAAAGGAAGAATGTCCTACCATGGCCTGCTAGCAAGGAGCGTGTGGTGCCCTGATTTTCGAAGAAAATTTACTTGATTTCAGTGGAGATGATGTTGATTTTACGCAATAGACGTCACGCGAGTGTTATGCCGGCAGACGATAGACGTGTTCCTATATTGTACGTAATCGCACGTGATTCCACGACTGCTTTGCCTACAATATGCTCATTTTTGACTTCACACGACAAATCACTGTCATCACAGGACAAGGGTGGAAACGTAGTCCACACATACAGTGGAGGCCGCGTAACTGCAACACTTGTCGCAGATGTAGGCCTTGGAGAACTTCTGCCGGCCAACCAGGTTTCCCAGGAAATTCGGTGAGACAAATTGATCATTTGATGAATCCGTCATTAATCCAGTCAGAACCCAGTCCACGCCCGACTTAATTTCTCTCCGAACTTCACCCCATTACATTACGACTTTTGATAAGGACAAGGTTCAGCAGGCAAATGAACTTGTGGAAAAATTGTGCATTACTGAAGAAGCAAACTTAACGGCACTCGTTAGCTACTCGCCAACGAGGAGTATCAAGATTGCGGTGTTTCCTACTTCTAGATTTGATACATTGCATCCGTCAACTCGTGTGGATGCACCGACTAGTTGCATAACTGGGAATCAACTTCTGTGTTATGGGCATACCGTGTGTCCACATCCTATGCCTTGGATTAAATCTAAAAGTAGAAATCACCATCTTGATACTCCTCGTTGGCACGTAGCCGACGAGTGCCGTCAAGTTTGTTTCTTCGGTAGTCCTGGTTGTATAATGGCCGTCAACGTCTGCAAATTGCTATTTTAGTGCTACCGCCAGTCCGCGATGTTTCTTTGTCGTCCTCCTTTTTCACTCCTCCGTCGTAGCAATTTAGCGGTGCCCTTATCGTTGGTGCCTATCGTTTTCAGTGATTTTTTCGCCTAGGATCAGAACTGTTCTGGAGACCACAAACCCACAACCTCCACATCCCGCAGTAATCATGATTTGTCTGGCGGCGTTGATCGACATCTTGGAGAGCATGTTTTCGATAAAATGGGAGAAAAACATGGTGATAAACCGCAACATCGCAACATCGATGACCTTTCCGAACCCTCCACCTGTGGTGGTTACGGCAGGTACGGGTACGTACATTTCGATTCTCTGTATATCAAAGCGGCCGGGATTGACTACCGTTTAGGCTTTAACGCGACGGGTTTGACCACTACCCTTGATGGGACCAACTATGTCGAGTCCGATGACTTCACCGTCGGTATTGGTCCGGCGTATCGGCTGGAGTTGGATGTTGACATCCTGGCTGGTGCCATCGTCTCGGGGTCTCCGTTTGAAGAGCAGGTAAGGCGTGAAACAACTACGTGGACGAAAAGGGGTTGTTGCTGGGCTGAAGTACTTTCTCTGGTGACGTGTACGCTATTTGAACAAAACGACGTTCATCGGGAATGGCGGAGGTACTATTGATGCTCGTGTTCGCGAAGCATTCAACACACGTAGCGAGTTTGAGTTCTCGGTGAACATCGTACTATCGTAGACTACGGGACAGTCGCCCCGCCGTATCTCAGTCAGATCGTTCTCGATACAACTAGTCAACACTCCTATACCCCCCTTCTTTTTGCGCTATACCAGCCGCGAGTGCGAGCCTACGACCTGGGCGACAACATGCTTTCAAGCAGCGAGTCCGCGGTGTTGGCTACTGTCTTTGTCAACCCCGTAGCGGCCACGCTGAGGCCGACGGACAGCGTATTTGAGGTGGGTAAGAGTTCCACAACGTGCGGGTAGGGGTGTCTACTTCGTTTGACGCAGTACGACCATGGTGTGTTGCCACGAACCGCCGCTTCGTATAAACTCCGGGCAGCGCACGTAAGAGATTTGCTGGCCATACACGTATCCGTTAATTCTCAGTAGGATGGCGCCGTAGAAACGTGTTCTATTGGCGAAGTCTTGAAGGGTGGGCTGTATCCCAATTTCTTCTTTAGAGGTGGTAGAGAGTGTCGCACGCGCACTGGTTCGTCCGGGCGAAAACTCGATTTACAATCGGTTTTAATATTAAAGTATGGTACTTGCTGTGCTGCGTTAGGTAATGACGGAGGGAGTCGCAACTTTCAGTGGCTTATTCCTCGACCGAGCGGGTCGAAACGTGAAGCTGCGATTCTCACTCTACGATTTCGACCGTGCTACCGGGGATTGGATCGAAACCGGAGTTCACTTGGACACAGACTTTTTTCATGTGGGGGAGGGGACACCGGCGGCACTGCACTTGGAACAGGTAAATAGCTTCGATACAACCACTTGTATCCCATCATTTTTTTTTTTTAAATCCCATCATTGCCACCCGTCCTCTCGCGAATGGATTTTCTAATTTCTTACGCGAGGTCAAGGTATTGGTTTCTGCTGCCGCAGGGGGATAGTGTGGCACTCATCGATTGGTCTGCACTCTTTTCGTTCTGCGTTGTTTCGGAAACCTTAGCCTCAGTTCTAATCGAGCACTGTTTTGGGTCGGTAATATTTGGTGTTACTGTGAGAGAATTTCCGGCTACAAGACTTACCCATCCCTGATGTCTCGTCGAGGGTCAAAGAAGGCAGACGAAACTTCTCTCAGATCGGGTTGTCGGTGACGCAAGTGGGAACCCCCCCTCCCTCCCAGCTGAATCGCCTCCCGAATGCTGCCGCGAGACATACAACATGTTGTTCGACAACGTGTTGGGAAAAAAGTTGCAGGGGGACGTACGACCCCCTGTGGTAACGAAAGGAATACCCATGAGCAACCCTTTCCTGTTTCATTTCCAGGACGTAGATGGAGCATGGGCTGGGGGTCGAGGGTTCAAGAAGCAGCCATACCTCACAGTTGCCGACGCCGGCGGTGGGACGATTACAATGGACAGTACCACCATGGTCACCGCAAGCGTTACTCCCAGCCTGATGGTAAGAGCGTGCATGCAATATGGAATATCGCGAAAGCAGGGCAGAGTTGTCAATGCCGCTCCAGGAGGCACCCCGGAGGGAAGGGGGGGGGTGGGATGATGGCGGTTGGTGGGGCGGATGAAACGTTTCCAATTGGTTGTGAGAAAGAGGGGAACGAGGATGTACCCACCGTCTTGCACCCTCCACCGGTAGAATGAGAATAATATACGTCAAGCAAGAGAGTACCCGCTGGGCGGTACAGATACGAAGGGCCAGTGACTCGATCTTATCCGTTGCCTATGTGGTGGATTCCTCGCTCTGTCGTGGGGTTTTCCTAGTCGGGTATGGATTCATTCAAACGCATGTGGGCGGTCACCCGTCACTTGGTCAATAATACCTCAGGTAGAAACAGTTGTTGGTACGAATGACATATGCAAAAAGGTATTAGCAAATACGCAAACGTGAGGTAACTTGAAAAAGGGTGGAACTCATCGGTGTTCTGTATGCGTTGGATATCCAGCGTTGGAGTGCACTCGTTGAAGGTTCAATGCGGACTCAACCGGGAAGTAACGTTCCTCAGACCACGTCACTCTTCGCGTTTTTACACCTGCCCTGGCCCGTGCACACCGGCGTCTGGCATGCTACGACTCCCTTGAGCGGAATGTATGTGCTTCACCTGTTCTTTATTCGACCATCCGATTGCAATGCGACTATCTAGGTTTCGTTCGGTCCGAAGTAGTAGCTGGTGCTGTTGACGCCATGAACAACACACACGCAGTATCCGTCAAACTTGCGAGCCCCTTGTATGTACAACTGGGTTTGGGGTTCGTGATGCCACTGCTGTATCTAGGAAACCCGACGTACCACTACCGTGAAATATGAAACGTCTAAGGTGGGGAGACAGAATGCAATGGTTTTGTTCAAATCCCCTCTTATTTGTGACCCAATTGTCGTGATTGCCTTGCATGTATCCACTTGAAGGTGAACCACGACGTGGCGGTTGATACGAGCTCGGATGCTTCCGTGCATATCACGAGGGTGTACACTGACATGGAGGACGGAGCGTATGGAGTCGGAGAGGAAATACTGGTTACGGTCGTCTTCTCAGCGCCTGTGAGAGAAGTTCGAAACATAGTCTCTTGGTTGCTTACAGCCTCACTCAAGGTGGAATAGTGCGTATACGTGTACTACCATTCGTTATGCTAGTAGTAGTAGTCGTAGTACGGGTTGCTGTGGTGTTTCTCACTGTTTCGATCTCTACCAAGTGCTTGCATATTTTCCACGAATGAACTCCATACGAGGCAAGTTCCTTTTTCGCGGGAACACAAAGCTTCAAGCGATTATGAGTACTCCAACTATCGATACAAAGGGACATCCAGAACCTTGCGTGAATGTGGTGGGACGATTACGGTAGCAGTTCTTGCCCTGTGACCAACTCCGTGGTCGAGGTTTGGAATTCATGAGAAAGACATGACAATTACTGTAGTCCGGTTGCGCACATCAACATGACATATCATTGCAGAATATAGCACGCCATCGATCGGGTGTCCGTTGGCCGCCTTTCGGCTGCACTACTGGGAATTGTCACATTGAACATATAGTTCTGAGTAAACCATTCAACGATACGCTGTCGCTCGAAGGTGATATGAACAACTCTGGAGGGTAAAACGTAGTCCTACCCACACCAAAGACAATTCACACTTTCGGTGGAGAGATGTTCAAGTGTGAGACTATGCTCGTAAAGTTTCGATGGCTTTCTCCCCGCGAAGGTACCTCGAGTAGGCAAGAAAACTCCTCTGACACCTGTCCCCGCTACACAATATTTCAATATTTCAGGACCCGCGTGTTTTCTGTCTCGCACAATTCCCCTGTTTTTGTTTTTTCGTCCAACTGACTTGAAAATAACCAAACTCGGACACGTGCCTACCATCCCCATCTGATCTCTTTCTTCGGACACTGACACACAGGTATACGCGGACACGAGCAGCGGCGGCACAGAGGGCCCCTTCCTCTACCTAGGAGGTACCCGCGGCACGGACGGCTCGTCGGGCCTCCCTGCCGCCCTCAGCAACGCCTCCGTTCTATCGGCCGATGAAGCCTCCGTGGCGGTGATGGCCTCCGACGAAATAACCTTCGTCTACACCGTGGAGCTGGGGGACCAGAGCACCGACGGCGTCGGCAACTCAGCGGTTCTGGAGGCCGAAGGACATTACGCAGTCCGCGGCGGGGACGCCCCGCTGGTGGATCTCTTGGGGCGGGAGGCGAACGCAACCCTTCCCGGGGTAGGGGTGTGGTCCGACGTTAGCTTGTCTGGGGCGTCTTCCTTGACAATTGAAGCGACCGAGCCGGTTGTTGTGGCTGTCGGGAGTTCGCTTGACGGCGGGGAGTATGGAGTTGGGCAGGTGAGTTAGTCCAACAGGGGGAATAAAAAAACACGAGGAACGTGTTTTGGTGGCCGATGATGGGCGCATACGCATATACATACTGGCGCGTTGTGCGGCACCAACCGCTGCAGCGTGCTCTGGTACGCGTTCATCGCACGGTGGTTACCGTTGTTGTTGATTCAGGAACTCCTAAGATGCCGAGGGGCATGGCATGTTCTGTCTCTTTGTTCCTCCTTCCGTTTAGACTACTAGACGGCAGCCCTAACGGACTTTTCATGTGTCGCCCTCACTAGGCAATCTCCTTCAGAGTCGACTTCAGTTTTCCGGTGGTGGTCATTGTGGGAGCCGGGGCGTCTCCACCCCAGCTGACCGTGGGTGGATTCAACGATAGTCTCAACGGATCCTCATCTACGGTGTTGGCGGAGTACGTTGATGGAAGCGGCACATCGGAGCTGCTGTTCGAGTACATGGTGAGCTCGTTGGTTGCCCTGAGAACTGTGGTAGTCATTGTACCGGGTCTCAGAACGTCTTGCGGAAGGGTGTTCAGAGGCATGAAGGGAGTGTTCGCGACGTCAAATGGTTTATTGTCAATGTTCAGGTTCTCACAGAAGGACACCGGATCGCCGAAAAACTCATACAACCACTTGTGTAATCCATCCCTACATGCCCTTTTCGCAACGTGCAGATCCAAGAGGGTGACACCACCGAGGGCTTCGCCCTGGGACTCACGATCCCGAACGGCGAAAACGCCTCAATCCTTCTCCCGGACACGAACCTCTTGTCTTCTGTGGCCACCCCACAAATACTGCAGAGGTCTTCCAGCCCCTCCCTAGCGGCGAATCTTTCCCTGGCAGGCGTGCCTGGTGGCGAGGATGGGGGCACCGGTTTAGGATCCGACGGCGGAAGCGTGACCGTCGACACCACGCCGCCTGAAGTGGACGTGGAGAGAGGGGTGGTGGTGACAGGGTATGGGAATGGCACCTACGCCCACGGAGATACCGTTTTCGTCATGATTTGGTGAGCATGGAAAATCGCGGGGGGGTGGGATGCTGGAGAGCGAGTTCGCTCGAAGATTGGAATAGTTCATGGTACGTGTCTGAGCGACGTTTGGAGAGGGGTCTGTCTGGAAACGCGCACAAAAGTTCTAGAGAGAACGACGAGGTGGTAAGGTACGTCAGTAGTCCTTTGTCTAAACGTCACACGGCCGACTGCGTAGACACTCCGTACCAGAGAAGGTAGCAGCAAAGAGTCCAGGTTTGCCCTCTAAACCAGCTCTCCACCGCTCTCTTACGATTTTTTTTCTGGAAGGTTTACGAAGCCTGTTGCTGTATTTGCGGACGTCGGACTCTTCCTCACCACCAACCAACGCGGGGCTAGGGCGGACTTCTCTTCCGGGGGTAACGGCACATACGATGTCACTTTCGAGTGAGTCAACTTCACTTCGATGCTCCGTTGCTGACTCAGTCCACAAAGGTTACTACGGGCACGATAGAACGCCCACGGAACCGTACACTTACTATTTTAGTATAAGCAAAATACACCGTTATGAAATCCGAGGGAGGGGCCCGAAAACTCTGTTCCGATAGGAGAAAAGCGATCGTGGGATGCTTCCCCCAGAGAAAAAGCTCTCCAGCATCCTATTGCAGACTATCAAGCAATCCTTTTCTGGGGATCGATACGCCTCGACCGGTTCTTCATTGCAAACCTGTTCGAAGGCGGGCCCTGTGTTTTCCGGCGCATCATTTCGACCTATTGTTGCCCCGATGTGTGTGTGAGCACGACTATTTTTCAATTTGTCTTTCGTCAACGACACTAACCGGCTGACAAATGCAAAGGCGAAATACAGTAGTTACAGCTGAGCATAAACACAAACACGCCTGTGTGTGCGTGTGTGTCATTAGGTGTTATTTGTTATTTTTCATGCAGGAAGACATCGTCACTACTGTTAGTACCTACGGCAGCCTGTGTGTCGCGATCCTACGTCTTCTTGTGAGCGTACTTGCATGTACCCGTCCTGTGATACGTGGCTCGCCTGCGCATGTCCATCAGTCGCATTTTTTAAACCCATGAAAAGGTATAACGTGGTTGAGGGGGACTCTGTGGACGTTCTCGACATCTACGGCCGAAGCGCCATCGACCTTGGGGACGGCGGTTACATCAGGCGTTACTCTACGAACCCCACGCAAGACGCTAACATTGACTTGGCCGACACCATTGCTGCCGGTACGTCCTGCTCACGGAAGCAGGCGACATGTGACTTTTTGGGTGGTTACCCACGAGCAGAAGTTTTCGCGAAGAAATCGTCTTCGCTCTAAATCTAGAAGTGAACATAGCTTCGCAGTTTGCCACTTGCGGTATTTGTTGTTCACCATCCTACCGTACAACTAGCAGCCGGCCGGGTCAATCCTGATGCTTGTTTGTTCGCTTCGAAGTGAGCATACCTATACCCCGCACTTGCCCATGCGAGAGCTTGTGTAGGTTCGTCTGCGAAAATTGCCGTTTGGACCCCCCTTACCACATACTCCTCCCACACACACCTTGTTACTATTGGTCCACGCCTTGGACCCCAACAGGAAAAAGCCTGGCCAAAACCTCAGCGATAGCTCTCGACGGCGCCCCACCCTACCCCGTGAGCGTGTCCTTGGCGCCCGATACCCCCGACGGTGCCTCCTACGGCCTCGGGGATGTTCTCCAGCTGGCGGTTACGTTTGACAAGAACGTAACCGTTTTCACCGGCATTGATGACAACGGTGATGTGTCTCTCCCCGTGCTGGTTCTGGATTGCACGAGGATGAGAGAGGCGGTCTTCAACGGAGTGGGTAACGGGTCCACGACGCTGAACTTCCAATACGAGGTGCATGTGTGATCGCGCAGCAGCTGCGTAGACACAAGCGTTGTGAGACGTGTGTAGCATATTTTCGCAACTATTTGAACGCAGATGCAGTCAAGTCGTAAAATATAGACATGTTCGATGTACCCTTCGTGTGAGCGACACCCGACGAATACAAGAAAATAGTCAAAATTGCACAAAGTGGGACAGTACGTAACATAGACTGGGACCACAGCAGTAGATAGGGTCCAGGCCCGCTTTGGCGGGAGCTATCTTGGAGTCAACATGTTCTTCAGGCATTGCGTCGTCGACAGCTAGCTCGAAGCGTGTTCGTTTCCTTTCGTTCTACGTGATTGCCAAGGACGGCGAAACCACCCTTTCTCGGGACGTGTCTTCTGTTGATCGTTGTGCTTTCTCTCCACTGGCACGACTTTTCACGACACCAAACTTACCGCCACCTCCGCTTCTCACCAAAACAACTCCCGCCGTGCGTGGTGCGTGTCACAACTAAAACCACAGGTTCAAATGGGTGACTACGCGAATAATCTCGGCTACCGATTCTTCCCCAATGCTCTTTGCCTGGAGGTGAGTCTTCAGCCTTTCCGCACATTTTCGGCCTACATGAAAGGAGGCGCTCATATTGGATGAGTTTCGTGTTCCGTTACCCGGGGACGAGTGCCGTTTTCACTTGCCTACCACGTATTTGTTTTTTAGAATGCACGTGGTGCCAGACTCCGGCACCCAGATGGTCTCACACGCTGCTCACGAATTGCTCTCACGAACATATCATAGGCTGCTGTAGCGTTTTTCCCATTCGCAGTGTAAGAATAACAGCCTCGTACAAGAACTCCAATCCATGGGCTTTCATTGCTCCTCGCGACACCCCATTGCGCGGCATCCCCATCGTCTTAGTGTTTGAAAGGGCGCGAGCAAATATATCATGAGAGATTGAGTTTACCTCGCCCTTCCTGATCTCAAACGTTTCCAGTCGGGGTGCCCGGACCGACCAAGCACTTCCATCAGAGAGAAGAAGGCCCTTGGAGGAGGCCGGGGCATAGACGCTACCCTGATACTGTCGAACTCCCTGGGAAATCGCGTGTCTGGCGTGCCCGTAGCGACAGATGTAACCGTTGATACTTCTGGGTCAAGAGAGACGTACGTCGTCGACCTGTCAACGGACACTGCAAATGGCACTTACGGCGCGGGGCAGGTACGATGATCATATTGTGGTTGCAGTTGTTGCTGCTGTTGTTGTTGTCTGCACATTGTAAAAACGTTCTAACCCAGTGCCCCTTCTTCTCTCCTCTTCAACGCAATAGAAAGAACCGTTGTCACGAACTAACCAAGGTAGAGTACTAAAGAACAGGAAAAATCGTGTTCAGAGCAAGTACATCTGTAATGGGGGAAAGAGCTTAGCTAAACATACGAGAGGGGAGTCCAATAACCGTGTTTTTTCTGGCATCTGTGTCATTTTCTCAAAAGAGTGTTCGTGCACTATAATCGAGTCAGGGGCAAGGTATATCGTACGTTGAACTTAAAGAAAGAGCATCGCCAACAACCCCAACATTAATGACAGAGGATGGTTGGGCGAGTGCGTGGATGCGTGGAAACTCAAATATCGAAAAGGTGGAGGTGGATTACTGGATTCCGTCTAGAGATACGAGGCCATGGCCTCACTCTTCCCCCCGATGATCGCTGAAAGATGTTGCATGTATCTTTCTGCCCGAAAGTGTATTCATATAGAAGTACACATGTACCTAAGGTTCGTCTCCGCTGCCAACGCGCCTTCGTTGCCTTCTTCCTGGTTCACACACCGAATAAACTTCTTCTTAACCTTACGACGATGACCGCTCCATCTCCTCGAAACCCGAACAAAACATCCATGATAATGTAGGTGATTGACATCACTGTCGAATTCTCGGACGAGCTTCTGTTGGAAACGTCTGGCCTACGCAGCGGCGCGCTTCCTACCATCCCTCTCAACAACGGTGGCGAGGCGCAGGTGGTGGCGGGAACTGGAACCAGAGAGTGGCTCTTCTCGTACACGTTTCTTGCCGCCACGACAACAGGGGGTGTCAGCGGTAACGACAGCGATGTTGCGGTTCTTGACATCGCCAACGATTCGTTCCCGTTTCCCGCGATGATAAACTGCACGGGAGGGTGCCGGGCGTCGAACTGGAACGGAGCGACGGCGAACCTGTCGGTGAGACGAGTGAAGATTTTCTTTTGGTATCGCGGCTTTGGGTGCTGGTTGAGGTCGCGTCATATTGTGACTTGAGTAAGCCAATGGAATTGGTTTCTGGACGGTCTCTCGGGTAGCAGTGTTTCATTTTTTTCTCCACAATGTCGACCGGCATCACACTGCCGGTCTTAGTGTTGCATGCCCGCAGTTTCACAGCAGAAAGTCGAATTTGTTGCGGGCGTTCTCTCGCGCAGCTACCCCTCTGTGATGTAATGTTCCTCGAACCGTTTCGTTTCAACAGCTGGAAGGTTTCAACCTTAGCCACGCGGGCATCGAGCTAGAGTCGACTCCGCCCGCCGTGGTGGAGCTGTACAGCCCGAAGGAGACTTCACCTTGGGGAGGCGTCTATACCGTTGGCGAAGAGGTACGCGGGTGTAGAACGTCACGATACCTTGGGTTCAAGTCGACGCTGGATTTGTGAAAGTTGCAGTTCGCGCTACCAAAGTTGGAATAAATGAACCAATATAACGTTCTGTTCTTCTGCGGGTAGACGCTTGTTTGTGATAAGCCAGACAAAAATACCAACAGGGGAAGCATTATCACCGTGGGGAGAGACAGGACACTATGGCGGAAGAGAACGCCACGAGAGGAGCTTTTGGTCACATTTCGTCACATTTCGAACGTGTCGGCGGTTTCGACGCAAAGTACCAGGGTGAAGCCAGTGATGGCCTCGTATGCTACGGTCTTGATACCAGCGAACCAGGTTGTTGAGAACGTCATCGAAACCAGAGCATACTTTTCAGCTGCGATCGTCTTCCACTCTGTCTCGAATTCGTTCTTTGGCCAATCCTCGCACTTGAGCTGTTTTTGTCGGGAAACGCTGCTGAAGAACCCTACCGAAACACGAGGTCATTACCCTCCTTGTGCGTGTGCTTATTGTTGACTTGTCGCTCCAGATCGAGGTTCGAGTCGTTTTCGACACACCGGTTATCGTGACCGGCTCTCCAAGGCTGCTGCTTGACACGGGGGCATACGCGCTGTTTGATAGTACATCGGAGGATGGGACGGAGGTGTGACGAGGAATGAGGTCATTTGGGTCCCCACCGTTTAGAATCCATACTGGTGCTGAAGGATCAAGTTTGATGCATGTCGTGGTTATCGATGCGTTGAGCTCGTGGTGATTACACGTAATTGTTCCAAACGAATCATCATATGAAGAGTCTTATTCTACACCTATCCCCAACAAAATCGATTGTTGTGCGTACTTTAACCATTTTTCAAGCAGCGTAGTGTCTTCAGGAGTAAATGCATGTTCAAGGTGTAGGTTCCTGATGGATAATTCCCTCCATGCACATTATCGTTCGAGGAATATTCGAGTGTGGGTTGCATGTTGTAGTATAGAAGAGTGGACAGGTGTGACACAGTGTTACGCGGTTGCATTTTTTGAGAGGGTGATGGTCGTGTTAAACAAATTAGTGAAAGCGAGACTCTTTCGCTGCCCAAGGTTGGGAAACACTGGGATGTAGGTTGGTTTGGGGCAGCAACAGGGTTTAGGCGTGCAGTTTCGGTCTTACGATTCCTATCTGGACGATGGCACACCACGCACAAAGCTCGCCGTGTCTTGTTGAACATTTTCAGAATTCGACTATTCGCTCTCAAAGGAAGCCGTATGCGCCGGACACTTAGTACTCGGAACACAATGTACGACGGCTTCGCTCCTTCCGCTCTCTGAACACTTGTCAATGAAAACCAGGTTCATTTTTTGTACACGGTAGATTACGGCGATCACAGCCCCAACGTTACCTGGGCCGGATCGCTCTCGCTCGGTGCCAACGTCGGGGAGGGAGGGGAGGGTGGGGAGGGTGGTAGCGAGGATTGGATACTGCGGCGCTCCACGAACCCTTCGACATCTGCTGATGTGTCGCTGCCGGACCCTGCCTACTCTTTAGCGAGGGGAGGATCCACGATCTACGTGAACACCACCGGACGACCTCAGGTACTGTTCGTGGCCAAGGTGGTTGTGTTTCCTCCCTTCTAGTTAGTCATTTTTCGCGTCTTGACAGATGACCGCTGCAGCAGTATCTGCTGCATCAGATGCTATGTACTGGCCACCTTGTTTATAGCAACTAGACGAACTGCGCTCGCAACAAGGTTGGTCGTTCTACAAGAAAACCATTTTTTGGTCCGCCGAGACGTGTTTTCGCGGGGTTCATGGATGTGTAGGAAGGTAAGCATGTACCGCCTCTCATTACCCTCGAGGTCGCGTTTGTTAGTAACCAACGTTCACATTTAAACGTAAACTAGATCTCATCATTATAATTGCGACCGCTTATTATGGTAATAGCCTTGGTCGTTCAATTTGTCTCTCCTTCCTCCCGCTCCCTCCTCCCGGAATCTTGACGCGATACCCAAGATAACAAATGTCACAAGCCCGGACGCCGCCGGCACGTATGCCCCAGGAGATGTGGTAACGATCTGGGTCACGTTCGACCAATTTGTTGCCGTGGTCGGTGAACCCGTGTTCTACCTCAACACGGGAAAGGGGGAGCCGGGAAGGGCACTCTACGTAGAAGGCAGCGGCAACCAGGCAAGAGACACAGTTGTCGTTGATGTTGTTGTTGTTGGCGGTGGTGGTATTCGTTGATGTTATGGCCTGTGCACGTATCACCTGCTTGACAAGAGATATATCGTCTGTCCTTGACCACATCTCTGCAGGATTGTTGGGATTTCAACAGGGTTGCTTTATGACAGTTTGTGCTTGCGAGCAGCTGACACTTGCTGTACCTGAAGCTGTCTGCAATAAATATTGTCGGTACAATTCTCATCCTATTGGGTTCTACCGTTCTGAACTCTCTACGAACCGTATTCGGCGTGCAGGCTGTGCATGCCATTATGTGAAATAGTGATGACCCCATGCAGGCGCAGGAGGCCTTGTCGAATCCAATACTTACATTTAATGACCCTAGGAGGAATGGTGACTGCAGGGGCAAAACAAGAACCTTCTCCACTCCTATCAGCTCACATTTCCTTCGTCCGATCACAAACAGGATATCGCCCGGTCTTTGCGAATCACGCCGCCAGGCCTTTATACCCTAAGAGCCCTGCGTGTACCTCCTATTTCCACCATCCCTGCACATGTCCACTCTTTCGCTTTTCTTTAGCTGACGATCTCTTGTTCGTGCTACATTACGCTTCTGACCCTGCCCATTCCCCAGACCTTAGTTTTCGAGTACAATGTTGTCGAGGGAGACCTTACCGACAGTCTATCATGCTCCGACCGACACGCTCTTGTGTTCGGTTTCATTGCTACCTTCGGCTCCTCCGGGTATGAGGCCAAACTGCGGTCGCTGGTCGCTCAAGCCTCGACTAACCCGACGGTGGCTGTGGACAGGGTACGTTTGCCGGAGGGGTGAGGGTGGTAGAGTGATTGCTTCGCCACACGTTGGTTGCATCAACGTTGTAAGTGAGAGCAGTTAGAGTTCTAGTTCTACCCCACTTCCACGATCAATTGGGTAGATTGCGAGGCAAGGGAGGGCAAGCTGAGGAGACAAAGGGATCCAGTGTTGCGGCACGCCACTAGCCATCAGTTCAAATCTTGCTTCAAAGGCATCCATATTTTTGCCGTCGTGCTGTGACTGGGAGTACCGCTACTCCATTACCAAGGTTTTTCAACGTCCGCTCAATACTGTAGCTCATAAATCCTTTGTCCTCCCTAGCGGCGTTTTATCCCCCCTGGTAAACCACACTCTGCCCCCCCCCACCCCAACTCGTCAAAACGCCTGCTCGACAGGTGCTACCGTTCTACCCCGGAGAGGAAGGCAGCTTGTCGTTCAACTCCGACATCGCCCTTGACGGGTCCACCCCTCACATACGCGAGATTTACTTCGCGGGAGAAAGCAACGCGACATATCAAGGAGGCGACGTCGTGCAGGTGGGAAGCCTTTGTTCATTTTATGCCTTTCTGTCTGCGTCGCGTTGCAGCCGCACACACACGTGTATTGTAATGGGCGGGTCCGTTCATGGATCAACGCCACGCGTGGAGTTGGTCTTCGGTATGTTGATGCGTGTGTGATACAAGCCACGAGGGAGCACAGCTAGGTTCTCGGACCTCCAGAGGGAGAATTTCACCGTGATGCCTCTGAGTGATAATGTTCTTTCAACTAAAAAACATATTGCGTAGTTTGTTGGCCTCCCTCAGATTCCTTGTAAGATAAAACCTTGAAACCGCCCCCTGAACGATTCGTCCCTGCCGTCGTCCAATCATCCGCCCCGCATGACCTCCGACACATCCAAGGTTGTCGTGCGGTTCTCCGCGCCAGTTGTTGTCTCCGGCGCCCCCGCTCTCAAGCTAGAGACTGGAGTCGTGGACCGCCAAGCGTTGTGGGTAAACACCACAGAGTTTAACTCTAGCGCTGCGGACAATGACGCGGTCGCCGAGGAAGTCGAGGGCGACGACTACCTGTTGCTTTTCGAGTACCTTGTCGTGACCGGAGATTCGGCGGGCGATTTGGACTATTGGGCCGACGACGACGTAAGGGAGAGAGAGAGGGAGAGGGGGAGAGAGAGAGAGAGAGAGAGAGAGAGAGAGAGAGACAGACAGACATACAGAAAGACAGAGAGAGAAAGAGAGGGAGAGAGAGAAAGCGCCAGAGAAAGAGACAGAGAAAGGGAGAGAAGTAGAGAGAGAAAGAGAGAGAGCCTCAGAGAGAAAGCGAGAAACACACGGACAGACCAAGCAGATAGAGACGGAGGGTTGTCGAGTTTCCTTTTCCGTGGTAATTGTCGCTCTCCATATATATTCCCGTCTGCTCCTCTGTTCGACTGCGACTGTTGTGGGTTTGTCATATCGTTTTTGCGACGTGATGGGTGCGTGGCCGTAGGACGACTGGATCGATGAAAAGGTGGAGACTGAATGGCTGTGGGTAGGCAGTGTTCTCGTCCACCTCTCCCCCCTCGTGTCTCCAAGCCCGTCTAGAATAATATGTAGACGAGCAACGGTACGCTTTCTGGTGAGACGAAAGCAACATCACCCACCATCGCACGACTTTTCCCCCACCGCACGCAACACAAAACCAGGACTGGAGGGATGCCCGCGCGTCCTTCGTTCTCCCCACGATCAACAATGACAACGACAACACCACCACCCCGTCGACAGTAAAACGGCTGAGCGCGAACCCATCACTCGACGCTGACCTGCACCTTAACCCCCCGGGAGGGATACTGAGCGGAACGGACCGGGCAACAGCCTTTGGTGGGTGGTTTTTCTTCCGAGACCTCTTCGTGCGGACGCGGGGCAAGGGGTACAAGATGGTGTTCGAGGCCTTTTACTCCGATTTGTTGGATGTGGATGACCTGGATTCGTTGTCGTCGTCGGCGACTTCCTCTTCGTCAACTTCGGTTGGGAGTACCTCAAGCAGCACCAGCAGCAGCAATGGTCTGTTCGTGAAAGAGAGGGGGCTCGCGCTCAAGTCATCGACGTTGTTTGAGGCAAGTTTGTTGTCGCCTAGTGTTCCAACGCCATGTGCCGCTTCCAGAATCGCTTCCCACTCCTTTCTAAACCCTTTTCGATGATCCTTGTCGACATTTAAGCTCTGTCCTCCTACACGTTTATCACGCAGTCATCTAGGTTGTTCATTCCGTATCGCTTCCAGAATACCGAGTTGTTGACGGAGCAATGCGACCCAGTTCAATGAGAGATGTAATCAACCATACGAACACCAAGATGGCACAACCCTACCGCCCCCTCTGCCTTTTCGCCTCCTACGCTATGTCACGACTTTCCACTACTGTGTGCATGTTCAACCGCTACAATGAAAGGTGGGATTTGCGGTGGAATTCGAGGTGATGAGCGAGGACTCGGATCGGTCTGACCTGTTCGGTCGGGCGATCTCATTGGACGGCAGCTTGTTGTTGGCCGGTGCCCCCAAGAAGCACAGAGAGGTGCCAGAAGTGCAGCTGATCGTTTCCACCGGCACGGCCTCGGAGGTAAGAATCGAGTCCAGTTACGGACAGTGCAGACAAGAAAAGTTGACGTGTAATGTGTTGCGTAGTGACTGTTTCACGATGGGCGTTGGTCCTTGTACGGCACGGCTTCAGAGGTTATAACTCTCTCTGGCAACGTGGTCAGTAAACTTACGAAACAAGTTGGTATCAACAACCCAGAGAGGGTAGACAGTACGCCGGATGAGAAAGAATGCATGTAGTCACTTTCTTTCGCTGGCAGCAGGTGATCCGACGTACACGCCTTATGGCTTGAAAGAGCAAGGTCGGTTAACAATCCCTGCCCGGCTGATTCTAACACACCAATCACATTACCCGCGAAATATCCACACATTATGGTGAGGCAAGGATTCTACCTAACACCCCCGAGCATTGTTCTCCAACTTTCAGACCAAGCCAGAGGTTCAGCTGATCGCTGTCGATGTCGTTCACGTCACGGAGATCCAACAATTCATCACCTACGCCGACCCATACGAAACCGTTGGAGGATTCTGGAGCTTATACTACCCAGGCAAGGACCAGGGGAATAGGAGGGAACGCGGGGAGCATGGTGCAATTTTCTTGGCGTGTACGGGTGGGGGTATAACGTGTTGCTCAGATGTGTCGGTGTGGCTGCGCATGGGTTGTGCGAGGGAGAGGGGGGTAGGAAAATCGTGTCGTGAACTCCTGGCCGCACGGTAGTAATACAACTCTTTCTTGCAGGGGGGATAGGAGAACACCGAAACCTTGTCAAAACTATGCACCAGAGGGCCCAAACCAACCCCGACCCCAACGGCAACCCCTGGCAGGAGAGGGCGTCACACGAGTGGTTGGTTAGTGTTGGTTATAGAAAGATTCGGGGCGTTCGCCACAATGTGACCCTGGAAAGAAGGCGTATAGGGCAGCCCTACGCGTAGAACGTTCGAGCGAAGTCGGAAGCCCTGAACTGAAAACTGGTTTTGACAGCATCACGGGTCCCCATACCCCGAGATGGACTCTTGAAGGTGGTGGAGCTTGCTACTAATGGTATACTTTGCAAGACAGCTCTAATAACTCGATGGTACGCGCAACAAGGTTTGGCTCTCCTGTGTAAATGCACAATTTATTGTCGCCGTTTTTACAATGATTTGTTGTTTGATATCATGACAACGGGCTCTTTGCCTGTTGCTGTTTGTTGTCCAGGGTTGGGAAAGTCGCGGAACATCCCCGCGGACGCGACGATCGAGCAGGTGCAGGCGGGACTGATGGAGGATTTCCCGACTCTCGGTCGGATGCTGGTTGTAAGGGAGGAGTATGCCTTCTGCGCGTGTGACGACGGATATATATGGACCATTACCTTCGACGAGGTGGGTGGGGCCATCTCGACTACTACGCCGAACCAGTCGACAAGACACGTGCGGAGTAATATTATCGTGGAAGAGGAAAGTGCTACCTCCTTCTGGTCCGGGTGGAAAACGTTGTCGTTGGTGCCTAGAGTGCACTTCCGGCTTGAACTGCAGTGCCTCAAGCCCCATAAGGCCCACAACGAGTGTTAAGTCCTTACGAGATCCTCAGCTGCCTCATGTAAATTTTCTAAGGTGCCAAGGAGCACTGTCAGATTTGTCAACCTTTTGTCCCTTCGCACCAACTCTGTTCACCGCGATGCCGGACGGACGACCATGGCTGGGGCGATTGATGCTTCCTGTGCTCATCATTTTCAACCAACGGTGCAAAGGCACAAGGCAACATCTTCAGCTTCGTCCCAGACGCTTCGGAACTCACAGGCACCGGAGCCAACTCCACGGAGGTGAAAGAGAAAGTATTATACTCGACCAAGAACGAGCTCATGTTGAATAACAGGACGACACGTTGGTTGTGAACTTTACGAAGGTTAGGTCGTTGGTCTAGCTTGGAAATTTGTGTGGGATCAAATTCTACAGGATATATTGTAGCATTCTTTTGTAGGCTGGCGGTGGAGCCTGGAGAGGTGATCAACTCGATCTCCGGCCTGCATCTCGTTATTTGTTGCCGATCGTTTTCACCAAGACATGAGCGGTTGTTTCGCGACCCCAGCGGGTAGCCAGTACTTATCAGGAAGCAGTTTTGTACTACCAAATTACGAGCTTCTCTAACTTTCCTCGGTGTGGTGTATCGAAGTACCTCCATATTCGATGGCAATGGCACACACTGGTTTGTATTTCGTGCCTTTCTGCGGCTTGTACGTAAACAGCGATCTACCCGGCCTTTCATTCCACGAGAATTTGGTTTCACAGTCCATCATTCCAAGTGGTACGGAACACGCAACTGATCTCGATCATGTGCCGGGCAGGTGGAAGTCCTGCAAGAGTCGCCTGTGGTCGGAGGCACGTTCACGCTTTCCTACACTCCTTGGTCGCCCGGCAACTACAGGTGATGGTCTACTGATAGATGTTACGGCACCGAAACAAAAACCTTTCTGTTCAGTCGGACGTCGTTTGATTTACCAGAGTGTCCTTCACAACACTATCTCGGGGGATCCGTGTTGGTTGGTGGGAATAAGACTTCAGAGAAGCGCGCCGGCAGGGTTGGGTATAATGCGGGGAGGCACAGGGCGAATGCTAGGGAAATGAAGCACCATGGAGCTTTTTCTGCCCAAAATGTTCGAACCTTTTTTGAAACCAGCTTGTCCATCTCCATCGCGCAGAGCCCTGATGTTCTGCTAGTAGCTCTCTGGTGTAAGAACATTGCAACGCAAAAGGTTCCCAACCTACGTCTCCCTTCCACCAATTGACACACTTTGACTTCTGCACGCCAACTTATTGCGTTCATTTGTCCCGTCCATGAAATGGAGGGGAGCGGAACTTGAGAGCGAGCAACCCCGAAATAAAGCGAAGCGCGAAGAAAAACACAACCTCCGTTCCCATGTTGCCTTTTTTTCGTCCAAGTTCATCCCTGACTGACACTCTTGTTTGTGCGTGCGTGAATGTAATACGCCAACCAGCGACGGAAACGACACCAACACCAATATCAGCGACCCCGGCGTCAGCAACACCACGACAACGGAGGGGATGCTAACGACGCGCCCGCTACCATACAACGCCAACTCCTCCCTGTTGGCGACGGTGCTGTGGCAAGACCTGAATCTGTCCACCTCCAGCGTTTCGGTGGACTGCTGTGACAATCAAGGGGGACGCAAGTGGATCATAGAGTTCGAATCGGGTGCGCTTGTTCTTCTCGAGGCTCTATTCATTTGCCATTGGGAGTTGAACACATCCCTTGTGTACCGCAATTTGCCCCGTGTACCGTGATTTGCACAAACTTTGGATGTGGCATTCGCCCTTAGGCTCCTCTTTTCATGTTTACTGTCAAAACTGGAACAAAGATTGGCAGTAACTGTTCGCGCACGAGTAACACCTCCTGCTCGGTGCTGTATACTTTTCACAACAGCAACAACACCCATGCGCCTCTCTTGTTCTTGTACTGACAGCTCAGTCTACGAATCAGTTGGACTATCTGTTCCCCAGCTGATCCATTTCCCGTTCCTCTGTTTTACCTGACACCATTGACCCTCCCCGCCACGGCGCACGCCGTGCACTTTTTCGTCGTTGCCTCTCCTTCCTACAACAACGACAACGACAACGACAACGACAACAACAACAACAGATCAAGGAGACTGGAATATCAGCTCCTTGATATGCGACTCCTCTGCGTTAACCGGAAACCGCGCGGGGTGTTGGCAGCTGACCGGTAGTGATGGCGAAGGTCCGGTGGCCGGCGAGTTCAGGGTCAACTTCAGGGAGAGCGAGTGGACGTCGTGGTTACCGTACGACGTGGATGCAAGTGAGAGGTTGGGGCAGAGGTGGAAGGGAAACGTCAATGGGTCGGGTGTAGACGATTCGCTTTTGCAGTGCGACGTGGATGATGATCGCGGGAGTGGGGTTAGGGCTGTAGGAGTTGTGTCGCCAGTACCAAAAGTAACGTGCGATTGTGCACTTTGTACCCACTGGAAGCCCACATTAGGAGGCAACATGATTGCTTTCTGGTGCTCACTTGTTCGTAAAACACGAAGAAAATGCAAAGAGACATAATCATTTATACTGAGCTTGTAGCCCTTCTCCTGCCTAGCACGTACGCAGAAGGTGTTAAAAGGTCAAACATCGTTTGAGGGTTTCTTCCTTCGTCCCCACACCTTAATCATGCAGTCCCATTGGTTGTTCGACAGCATTAGATATTGCGATTGTTGGTTGTTCCTTAGTTGTCCTCACGCTGCAAAAAATTAAACAAAGTACCTTAACTTCGTCTAACAACTTTGCAGGCGATATGGAGACGGCTTTGCTGGCCTTGGAAAGCATAGAAGATTGCGAAGTGTCCCGAACACCAGCGGGCAGCGCTAGGCAACACGTGTGGGCGGTCACTTTCCTCGAGGTACATCGATATCACGTGATGGACTATGTGCTTTACCTTGGTGTGATGCGGCTGAGGCAGAACGCATGACTACGACAACGTGGTGAAGTTAGATCTTCCTTCGCTTCGCGTTGTGTTGTGGACTAGGTACAACAGGTGTTCGATCGATCGAAAGGTTTCGTGCACAGATGACATGTCTTTTGTGACCTACGGCTCCTCGTTCCCGGCTAAATGTGCCACGTCTGATTCGATTCCTATCATATTCTGGTCTGTCGTCGTGGAACCCTTTTTCCAGGTTCGAAAACCGACAGATTTCGGTTTCGTTTTGGATGATATGGGCAATATGCCTGCCATGGTGGTGGACGCTACACGCATCAGAGGGACCGACGCATCCGTCGACGTCCGATACGTTTTCGGTAAGATGTACAATACCACTAGTCCTGCGTGTCACATGTGACGGAGGAGATACACTCCTGGTGGTGTTGTGTTGGTCCGATCTATCTATCCAGTACCTCCCTTTGTCTGATCTAGCACTTGACGCGGTCGATTCCCGTGGTCACAGGCTAATGGTGATAGCGAGCTCAAGACTAGGCAGGGGAGACGGGGACGGGGGACGGGGGCGGAGAGTTATTCAGAGTGTGAGGGTGGTGGTAAGCAGCGCAGTGATTCCTTGTGCAGCAATGAGAGTACTTTTGAACATACAATGGTCTTATCGGGAGCGAGGGTGCACTGGTCGAGGTGACGTGTGCATCAGGTGCACCTCGTTGTGATTTGAAGGGCCGCAGGGGAAGACCAATGGTTGCAAGCGACGGCCACGACAATTCTATGACAGGTTGAACTGGCTACATACCGCTTCCTCAATGTATACCCTTTGGAAACGGAGCTCGTGCCTTAGCTACCCACCAATGAAAGCAGCATCCAACTACATGTAGAGGGATGCAACACGTACACTACCCGATAGACGCATTGATTGGTCCTTTCGTCTGGTTCGGTGGAAATGTAAAGACATGGATAAGGCACCATCACATCCCCAATCCGTATACCCTCCTTTCCTTACCGTTACGCACTACAACAGGAGGAGATACAGACTACGCTCCTTGGGAGGGCAAGCAGATGGGGTCTCACGGGGAAGGTGCCGGGGCTGCATACGTGTTTTCTAGGTCCCCTGCGGCAGAGGGTTACGTGTGGGGGCAAGATCAGGTGGGCGCTGCGGTAGAACAATACGGTATTGATGGACCTTACGCAATATGATATGTTTGTGCTGGACACAAGTGTTTTCCTTGTTGTTCATTTTCTGGGCTCAAGCTTGATGCCATGTGAAATATTCACCATGTACGACGTCGATACGACATACCACACACTTTGTTGTTATTGCTGTTGTTTTCACACCGTGTTCGAGTAAATGAGCCGCCTCGAATACATGATGGCTACGCATACATCAGCGGAAACTGAGTCGTGTCGATCATAGCTTACCAAACTATTGTCGCATACATCTGCCGTCTGTATCGATGAACCGTCCCAAGACGTTGGGCTTGTTCAATGAGGGCAACATCGACCAGCCAAATAACTCTCCAAGCAACCGCTGCCATCCATATTGATGTACACATCCAACGTGAATAACACAAACAAGCAGAAGCTGCTCGGATCAGACACGGACGGACAAGACGCCTTCGGCCACTCTGTTTCGGTCGATGAGGACCACGAGCTGCTTGTCGTGGGAGCCCCGTACGCGGAAGACTACGGTGTCACCGAGGTGAGCAGTCTCTAAACGAACCTCCACCCTTACCCTTCCTTTGTAGACCGCGATGCCAGTTACAGATAGAAGCATCCGTCAGCATCTGTTGCACGAAACACCGGTATTGGAGTACGCATGCAAGAGCCGCCTTGTGGAATATTGAAACCGAAAGAAGTAGACAGCACGTCATGTGGTACGCCGAAAGAACTGCGTGTAGCGAGGGTCACAGCGGTCGCCATACGATAAAACAGGAAGATTGGTTCCCAAACGCTCACTCGTATCGTTGGCTGCCGGGCGTACTTACCCCCCCCTGCGCGCCGCTCACTATTAGGTCCAAGGCATCAGCTGCAGCGCCATGACGGGAACGTTTACCCTGGGCTTCAGAGGCTTCACGACGGACCCCATTCCCGCTAATGCTTCCATGTAAGTCGAACACCCTCCTTCCGGTCGCCCCCATTTAGGTTAGAAGCCTATCTTCTTGTGGACGTCTCCACGTAAGCCCGAGCTATACTACATTTGTCGGCTGCCCCTTTGGGAAGTATAACAGGTGTGATTTCATTGGACTGTCCGCTATGTTGCTGGTATTGGCTCCGCGCACACCACCGCCAACCTGTTCCTTGGTCTCCATAGTTGAAACAAATTCACCTGTAGGTTGGCAATCCTAGAAACAAGAGAAACGGTAGTGCTTCACCACGAATTGAACACTCGAACAATGACCATGCTCCCCCAACAGCGCCCCCCAATGGCGACATTGTTTAACCTGACACGTACTGAGTACCCGCTGGACCCCAGTAAAACTTGATCTGTTTCACCAAATAAGACGCTCGGAGACGCCATTGATGCCACATCTTGTTAGTGGGAATACTGGAAGAAAATAGCAAGTTTGTGTAGGCTAACCAATGCGGACTACTGTTTATTGAAACCGTCGAGTTGAAATCGTTGATTTGCCAGAGGCGTTTTCGTTCGTGTATTTTGGGGTACAAGATTTGGAAGGGGACCCTTCGGAGTGATCACTCTCGGATAAGTCACGTGCAAGGAGAAGGCAAACTGGCCAGCGTAGAACAGGAGAGCTATACAGCAGTAGGTGAACTGACAGAGAGGGATACGAGGGACTGGCCACGTTTGGAGGGCAAGAAGTTGTGTTCTTTTGCGTTCTTCGCGTTATCTTTTGGAGTTATCTTCTCGGAGCCAAGAGGCCGGGGCCTAGAATAAATGGTAGACTACCATTTGGGACTTGGTATCTTGAGGTGTTACGTACAGTAGGAAGCGTTCTCCACATCGGTGGAGAGAGAGAAACCCCGGTTGCTATTCTTAGGGGAGAGGGAGAGACAGTAGTACTGATGGACAGAGGCACGGCAGGATAGGCGTAGAGAGTGTCTGCAGAAAACGTGCTCTGTCAGTGTGCTTTCTCTCTCTTCCCCTCGCGTTACGGGAAACATTAATGCAAAATGGCAATTCGAAAGAAACACAATAGATCGCTTCTCAAGTCAGCATGAGAAGAACAACAGTCATGCGCCTGGTACACGAACCAGCTTCCACCCATATCCCGTCACCTGTCGATTCCTCCCCCCCTTGACAACAACAAAACTGCTTGTGTACCTAGATTTGAGCTCTACACGGCGATCAGAGGGCCTTTCGGGACCACGAAGAACCTGCACCCTCTCCCCGAGATAGACGTGAACGAGAGGTTTCCTACAGAATGGTCGGCGTCTGCCCCCGCGGGACTGTGCACGGGGAACAACTCTGCCTTGCTGGCGTTCCGCACACCGCGGCACGACTTCTGGGGAGGGAGCGGGGACCTGGAGCTGTTGACTGTGGACAACTCCTTGCTTGACGGTCAAGTCACGGTGGAAGAGGTGAAAAATGTTACACGGAACTGGAGGCGGGGACTTGGTACCTTAGGGGATAGGGCTCCGCGTGCTAGTGTGCAGGGATGACAGTTCAGCCCGCGATACCCATTCCTGATCCACTTTGTCATGGCGCAAGAGCTTGTTGTATCGCTACTTGTTGCATTTACGTTGGGGAGGGGACGCTACAACCATGGCATGATCCCCTGGAGGCGATATCCAACAGACGGCCAACACAATAGCCGGTACTTGATCTCGGTACCCTTGACCATAAAAAACGTTGGATCGACATTGTTTCAACGAAATATGGGTGTTTCCTGCGCGTTTGTCTTACACCGTACGACAGGTGGTGAAAGGCACTGCCAACCCGGACGGCCCTTTCTCCCGCGGAGCGCAAAAGGGAGCGGCCTACATCTACCGTCGAAGTCCCACGAGCGGTCTCTGGTACGAGGAGACAAAACTCTTCTTGGACGACGGCCTAGCGACAGATCGATACGGCTGGCAGGTTAGGGAAACTTTATGCTTCCGGGGTGACACAGAAATAGGCACCCCGCCCCACCACGGTGCCTTGAACCACGAGGTTTTGGCACTGATTTCGAGCCGACAGACCACCGCTATCAGGTTAATAACGATATCCGTCCGGCATAAGACGGGAAAAAGCAGAACCCCTCACCTCCCTTGGGAGACGCAATGAGGCACAACGACAACGATGTGGTGGACCCCGCGAATCGCTGATTCACCACACGGGCACATATTCAATACTCGTGCTCGTTATCCCGGAATCACCAGGTCATGGCGCTCGGCGACGATGTGACGAACGACATCGTGGTAGTTTCGGCCCCGGGCCGCAACGGCGAGCAGGGCTCCGTCTACGTGTATACGTACACCGAGAGCGAGGAGCGGTGGAGCTTGTTGCAGACGGTCACGAGTGAGCTCTGGTCCCTCGGTGAGTGCATGGTGTGTGAAACCTGTTCGAGCTGCACGCTCTGCTCTGAAGTTCTTCCTTGTATGGTACCATGGATTGTTTTTCACCCCGACAGCGACGTGGACGAACGCGTTTTAGTGCTAGTTCTAGTTGCGATAATTTGTTCCTCAACACGCTTTGGTCTAGTATTGTTGTTGTTGTCTTCACCTTAGCCGTGCCCATCTCTGGTCAGCATATTTTACCGCTTAACACGCGCACTCATAGGCTACCAAACAGCAGGTACATGAAACACCGAGATAAAAAGACGCAGAAACCCCAACACAAACGCGAAAATAAATAAAACAAAGAAAGATGTACGGCTCCAGACAGTCAGATGTCGCAGCATGTAGGACAGAGAGAGATGATTGAGCCCATCGCTCCCATTTGGCATGCCAGGCCGAACACAGAACAATACAGGAAACAACACCAATCAAGACAATCAATAAAACCTCTCATGATGCTATCCTTATACACGCCAAAAGCAACACGGATGACACCCGTCCCATCCTCTCGTAGACTACATCAATCAAATTTCATTCTCACAATGCAAGGTCAAACCTCTCAGGGCTGAAAGAGTCATCACTACACCTCTTGGGATGCTGAACTCGTGACCCCAAACGCGCACGCACACACGCCCCGCAGGTCAGGACGAGTTCGGGAGTTCTTTGTCCTCGAGCAGCGATACCCTTGTGGTGGGCGGGGTGGGGTACAACTCAAGCGCCGGCGCCGCATACATCTTTACGGTGTCGCGATCGGGCGTGTATCAGGCAGATCAAAGGATCGTGCACCCGGAACAGGTGAACAGAGGTTGCATCGCGCCATCAGATCCTACTCGTGGACGAGAACGTCCGCAAATTGTGCACCTCCGACGCCCGTTCGCTACACGTTCGAGCCAGCCACTATGCGTGTAAACGCATGAGGTCTAGAGATAACACCGGCAGACTTGTGTTTGGGGGCCTTCATGCGTCAATCACGAGGGCTCGCCTTTGGATACCTACTCATGGCTCTGCTCATTAATTGCTTGGCCACGCCGATGTTAACCTGCACCCCCGGATCCCTACTCCTTTCCGCGTTGACCAACGACATCAGTGGTTTGTTGGGGGCGTCTCCGCCAAGAACATGCCACTCCCTCCCTTTTTTTTCGTTTTAAATCAAACTTCTACATCAAAACAACGAAATCACACCGTACGCTAAAGCCACACGGTTGTTGACATTGTTTCAGGCAAGGGCCGGCGACCGTTTCGGCGAGAGCGTGAGCCTCTACGGCAACTTTTTGGCGGTGGGGTGTCCCGGGCGAGAAGACACCTGGCTCCACACGGGAAAGGTTGCCACTGATTGGGAAGGGGAAGACGTGGGCGCCGTGTACTTGTACAGGAGGGATAGCGCGGAGAACGCCTTCTTGTTCTTTCAGGTGTGTGTACCATCATCTGTGTAGAAATGGTTCTCGGTGCGGGTTAGCTCCGTCGTTGTCAGCTTTTGGGTACGGTGCATCCCGCAATTTGGTATTCACCGGTTTGGTATTTGTGTATGGTCAAGATCATCTGGAAACTCTTGCGTTGTGGTCCCGACTGTACGAGAGAGGAACGGCGTGGACGACATGGAGGGAGGAAAGGCATGGTGGTATTGGCGATTGTGTACTTGTGCAAGAGAAACATCTCCAAAGACGCGTTCGTTCGGAGAAATAGTCTCCCGCCCAACGGCAACGAAGAAGACTTAAAGAATGCAGGACAATGAACATCCTAAGAAACGAGGTGATGTTTGTCGCCATCTGGCTACTGCAGTGCCGCAAAATTGGACATACCACGCGGGATGTGTTGATAGTGACATAAGCAAGCGCTTGCACGACATCGGCATCCCCTCCCTAAGCTACGTCAAACATTTTTGTTACTGGAAGGATGAAGGTGTGCAGTCGGCACCTTGGGGATGACTGTCCTCATCGAAGGCTCATTTAGAAACCCGGCATTCTTCACCGCCTCCATCGTTCACATCTTCCATGGTGCACCTCTGTCTGCCATCATTGCCTCTTTCAAATCGCCGCCGGAGAGTAGAAACTCGTCCCGTCCAACCTCAAGCCGTTCGATCGCTTCGGGGCTAGCGTGAGCATCGACGGGGATGCGTTGATTGTGGGGTCGCACCAGGACTTTGAAGAGGGTAACCTGGCCTATCAGCGGGCCGTTCAGGTGCGGATGGTGCTATTGTTTCATTGGTTGCTGGTGGTGCTGCTGCTGATGATGATGATGCGTCCATCGTCGTCGTCGTGGCTGCATTGGTCCTTCACTGGGCAAAACTCCCACACGGAAAGTTCGAAAACGTGAAACAAAAATCGGCGCGAAAGCTTAAATAGTTGCGACAGTCGAACCTATGGCGATGAATAGTGATAAGGTGTTCCACTTTTCGTGCCATACCTAGCTTTCTGTTGTGATGCAAAAAATGATATTAAACAGGTGGTAACGGTTCAATCGGATCCCGGCGGTGCTGGTGTGGGCAACGTGTACCGCCTGGGCTGGAAGGAAGAGTGCATCGACGACGCTGACGATAACTGCGAGGTAAAGGAGTCACTCGCGTGGTACGCATAGATGGTGACGTAAAAATCCCGTGTCGTGCGACACACGCGGGTGGTAATCACTTTATCAATGAATGCGCTACAAATCGAATGGGATGCGAACCCCACGCGAGCTCTGCACCTGGTAGAGATCACTCTGGCAGGTTACTGTAGCTGGAAACAAATCATAACAAAAACTACGCGGATTGTGAAGGGTGGTTACGGTATCAAATGGAATGCTGCTATCGCAATCGGACAATAAAGCGGCTTTTCCTTTACGAAGGGTTTCAAGTGCTCTTCGTGTTCCGCTATTGCTAACATCTGTTCGTCGCGTCTGCACCAATATCGAACAACAAATGACGACGTCTTCACAGGTACGATGGACGCGTGACATCGAAACTGACGCCAGTGGGGTCGTCCTCAAGAACATTCTCGAAGAGGTGTGTATGTGTGCCTCTCTTCGTATCGGATGTTTTTGAATGGCAGCGGGGCTATCTTATTTACTCCAACAAAACACAGGCCAAACCCAATCGGGTGATCGATCACGGTCCACTTGATGTTGGATGGCACACTACGGCAGCCTATTCATGTTGTCGTTTGCTCACCCCCCCCTGTGTCTCGTGCTTCCGGCCGATGCAAACTTTCCCCAGGACTTTGATCTAGGGGTGGGAGTGAGCGAGCTCGTGGTAGCACGCAGCGGCATGGACGAGAGTACGGGAGGATACCAGTACACCGTCATTTTCCTCGAGGAGACTGAAAGCGTGCCGCAGATGCTGGTGGGTTCCCATGAATCTGAGGCGTTTCTATGTTCGAGAGAAGGCTAGGCAGCTATTTACAGCACGCTTTAGATACAACGCCCCTCTTGTTATACGCGGAGATTGAACATCCTTCGCATTTTGAGCTGACGACGCCCGTGGCATCATACCGGGCCACGCACAATAACTGGATGGTATCGAATACGTACGATTATAACCATCAATGCTAATCGTTTACGAAACAGCCAAGTTGCCAATGCAACGGGCAGGTCGATCGGACTAGTCATTGACATACTTGCCAGACACACACGCCAGCGTACCTAATGAGAATTGCTCCAGCACCTGAATCCTACAGCTCTATCCCAGGTTTGCTATGAGAATCGGAATTTCTTGTTAAACAAAGCATTCGCGTGTAGACTCAATCCGGCATATCTTCAGATGAGAGTGCCTTTGGAGTAGAGTCCCCCGTGCATGACGTCCGTTGCACGCCCTTGGCTCTCCTAGGTGGACGACTCAACAGTTTCAGGACCAAACGCCTACGTGAGCGTAGAAAGCCTGAACGAGGTCCCGGGGAAGCTGCGGGGGGTCACGCACGTCTTCGCGAGACAAGTGAGTAGAGAGTTGCTCTGGGAAAGGATGGTGCGTGAAAATTGTAGGTTCTGTTCCAAAACTTTGAGCCAATCGCTGCCCCACCGGATCGAACAACGTGAAAAGGATATGCGCGTTGTTTCGTATCTTTCATCCGGGTAAATTAAAGCAATTATTTGCGGCCTGCCCCGATCACGTCGAGAGCTGTCTAAAATTATTCCAGAAACCAAAAACAACTAAAGGCGACTGAGTGCGAACAGTGATTGCCGTCATGGCACGTAAGGATCTTGAACTATACGCCTCGTCCTCGCCACCTCCTCACACGACCAAAAGACTCAGATATAGGTGTGATACTAGACAAATATATGACAATGGTACAGATTTCAGCCCTTGCCGGCATGGATTCAGAGTCGCGATTATCACCGAAAAGCTATCTTATCGTCGTTCCATTCTCCTCGCCAACCCAAACCCCAATGCTAACCCGCGGCCAGTCTTCTGTTGTTATTGTTTCTGGTTGCATCGTCTAATATCGCAGGTTTCTGGGGATGTCGACTCGTCCTTCCGTGAACAGTGCTTCTTATATCCTTGGATAAAGCAGCGGCAAGATCTTTTCGGAACAACTGTCGCCGTTTCGGGACAGTTTGTCGCCGTTGGGGCTCCCAACCGAGACACCATCCATGGGTACGTCTCGTCTTCTTGTGACTAGACAGCGTCCTCGGGAGAACGTTGGGAACGTACCCGTGGCATGTCCGTGGGACCCTGTTCGACTTGAGGTGTTTAAGCCTATTTTTTCGTTCGGAGTGAATACGTTCGTTTTTCCCGAGCTGCCAAGGGTGCGCCACCAACACTCGCCGGGTGGTCTACCAAAGAAAAATATCTAGCGCAGCCGAGCTATCGTTTGTCTCTCGAAATCTGGAAAGGAATAAAGGGATCTCTCCGTTTTACTCATCTCATCCAAAGCACCATCACCGTTACTCTCAGATCCTTCGAGGATCAGAACCTGACTTCTTTGAACACCGGAGCCGTGGAAGTGTTCAACCTGGACTTCTTGTCCTTCCGGTTCGAAAGCCTCACCTACTCCGTTCTGGAGGGCGATACGTTAAGGTGACGGCTCATGTCTCCTACAGGAAATTTTGATAACCCGCCATGAGGGGTTCCAATGACATGCTTTTCAGTAGGGCATACAAGGGCAATACGCTCAGCACAATTACCATCAGCCTAGTGCTTCTTCATGTATTTCATGTGCTCACATCGGAACCTGACGGAAGAGGTGAACAAAAGAGGGCTATGGGTAAGGTGCCATGACACTGGAACGCATCCTAGGCCGACATTGATTGCTAATTGGATGCGAAAGGCCTTGCGGACAGTCGTCAAGGCCCTCGAACATGAACATGCTGTTGGCGCCTAGTCGGGGCATGCACTATATACCGTATGGCTACAAACACTAAGCAAGGTGTCGCGCACAGCTCGCATACAGGGACGTGACAGTGGTACACCAACCAAAGAAGCTCGTCATGATATTGAACAATGGTTCTGATTCCGTCCCTTTGTCCACTATCACTCGCCACTTTATACCCCTGCCCCCACCCTCGGTTGACAGCATGAACATCTCGAGGTTCTCGGGGTTCTCCAATCCCCAGGTTTTCAATCTCAAGTCCATCGATCGAAACGCTGACCAGGAGTTTCAGGTGATGGTTGTTGTTGTTATGTATCTTCTGCGGTGGCCATGCCTCCAATTCGTTCATCTAGGAGATTTGGGGTACGGGAAATGTGTTGGTACGAGCTTGCCCCATCGCGAAGCTATGTGCAAGACAAGAAAAAATAATCTGGGTTCTCTGAAAATATGGCAGCTGTCCCGTCTCTGTCTAATAATTTCATCGTGGTTACCTTTAACCTCGCGAGTTTCAAGGTTCTTTTGAGCCCGCCGTTTTCAGCCACTCGTTGGAAGAAAATTCTCTCGCTTACCCCACTGTGGACACCACACCCCTGCTCTGCTGAGTTGATCACGTCACGCTCCCTGGTTGTGTTTCACCAAATCCGGACAAACGACGGAAAACAATATTGAAACGGGACAACAGCTCATTTCAAGGCACGTTGTCTCTCAGCCATCTCTCTCGCTCTCTGCCTGGCTTGCTTAATCATAACCCCTTCCTGTTCTTCGTTGTTCAGGACTACATCGCAGCAGTCTACGACCTCAGCGTGGCCTACCCTGACGTGCCGGTTTTCCAAACGGCTGCTGATGTCGTCGGGGCGGGGACGGCCACAGCGAGATCGCAGTACTACGGCAGCGCCAACAACCGGTCCTTGTGGGTGGGGGGCATGTTCGATTACCGAGGATTGTCGGACTACACGCCGATCGAAGATCAGGTAGAACTCGAGCAATCTCTGGAAGCGCTTCTCTATTAAAAATCGTTCCGCCGTGCACAGCGCAGTAGCTGGATCGGTTGACTCCGAATCCGCGCGGGTCTAAAGTTTGTACACAGTAGGTACTAGGCAGGAAAATGAAACGACGACAATGAAATAAATACCATGGTATGTGTTTGGAGTACAGGAAAGTGTGCTACTGAGAAAATATGTTGTGGTGGGGTTCGAATCCATCGCCGACATGACAGGTGATCTCCGAGGTCCCCATGCCCGTCTCGCCAGAGCTGAGCAAGATGATGGCTAATCGCGTTTTCCGACCAACGGGGAAAACCGCAAGGCCCGGCCTTGGGGAGATTCGACGTTGTTGCCCTTGCCAGACGACGAACGCATCGAAAAGGCGACGTCCTCACCAATGTGAATCAGCAGTATATTTCAAACAACGAAGTACCTTCTGGTTCTGCGTAAAGTCCAACCACCTACGGTGGCTGTCTTACTGCTTTGTCTGGATGAAACATACTCACAGATGCAATTTTCCGCGTACGAAGCGAGCGTCTACTATCTCCTCAACACCACCGACGACAACGTGGTCGAGACGCCTGATGAAAGCCTGACCGTGTCTATCTACGTCCCCGGGATGTTCCCGAGCTTTCTCGGCGACCTCATTGCTGTGGTGGAGATAGAGGTGAGGTTCTCAGCCCTATGCAAAACAAATACTTGGGAAACATGAAGGCGAAACCTTCGCAGGAAGATCGTAAAAGCTGTTAAATCACGCCTTCCCGCTCTATTTCAACGAAGGGGCAAGGGTCATAGCGGTGCGAGTACCTCGCTATTTATCAAAGTGTAGGACATAACGAAAGAAAGGAACTGACGCGTCATGCTCGTTCAGTGCACTCTTCTCTCTCAATAACTTGTGAAGAAGTCGTGTACGTCCTCCGTGATCCTGCCATCCCTCACGACCCATTAGCGGACAGAAAACGGCGAATATTTGAACCTCTGTCAACAGCAACTCAGCTAACAGTGTTCGTATACACGCGCGCACTGCTTGTTTCTGCAAATAGGACAATGGTGATGGCGAAGGGCCTTACAACGCCACCGCCTCTTGGGGAACCGTGGGCGCGGCCGACAGTTTCACGACGTTCATGGACAGCAAGGTGTATACCTCGAAGATATCCGCGGACGACACCGAGGTGGGAGGCGGGGGCGGTGAAGCAAAGGGATTCGATGGAGGTCGTTTCATGCTTAGCATGGACGGGGGGTGGGATTGAGAGGGAGAATATTTCTTTCATTTATTCTTCGACAGCACACCATTCGTTTCCGAGGCAAGTGTGTGGTCCACAGTCAACTACTGCAGGTTGTGAAAAGAGATAGCGCACATAATGCATAGGGTAGGGGTGTTATACGTTCAAGAATGGCGATGTTCAATTCGTCAGCCGATCTGAACGATAATTGCTTACAAAGCGCATGGTGTATTCCTATATTCGCAGCAAGTGAAGTAACCGTTTTGTTGTCTGAGAATGCCCGGATCGTTAGAACATATCTTATCCAACGACACTTGTCAGGACATGAACCGGTTCGGTGGCGCTCTGGACACCGCCGAAGACGCTGGTCTCATGATCATTGGCGACGAATTCTCCGAGATTGATGGGTAACGTCGGAATGTCGTCCTTGTTGTTTTTGGGGATGGTGGTGGTGGTGGTATACGTCGTTGTAGTCGTTGTCATCGTTGCTGCTGCCGTTGTTTTGTCCCTCACCCATCCACGCTGGGCTTGTAGGTCAATGCACGCTCCGGGATCGCAGGCCTACCGCTTTTTGTGGAAGTACCGCAACCCATGACCGCTGCCTTAGGTATATATCATGTGCTTATTCTAAGCGACGCAAGGCATCTCCGAATGTATATCCACAAGGCAGAGTCGTAAAAAGCTGAATAGTTAGTATGCCTAGCCCGGATGGTTTCTCCTCACAACAAGCTTAACACTTCTATAGAAAGGTTAGCGTGAAAGCTAAGTTATACTTCGAAGTAGAATCTTAACTCCTCGCCAATGGAATTGATTAAGAAATATTCAACGTTTCCCTCGCGAAAGAGACCGAGCTCTTGAAATTAGGTTTCTGCGTGTATATGTACGCTTGACGGTATCGCTGAACTTCGGTGCTTTTGAAGAACGCGATGATCAGACCACTTTTTCACATCGATCATCTTGACAAATCATAATCATTCAACAGCGGGCACCTCGACAGTTGTTGACGAAAAGACGGCAATACCGAACGCCAACAATCCTCAACGGCCCCCTATGCGTCGAAAACCTCCCGAACAGGCATATAAACTGCGGGTCCGCCTATGTTTTCCGGTTGGAGTACGGCGCGTGGCAGCAGGAGGCTCAACTACTGCCCTTCGAAGGGAATATTGCTCAAGGGGCTCACTTCGGTCAAGCAGTCCAGGTAAGTGCACGGCAGTAAGTACACGGCAGCAGGGGTTTAACGCGTAAAGTCAAAGTCGTGCAAACCAGTCAGATCCAAGCAATTCCTTCGTCATTTGTTCCACGACAATCGTAAAACAACACGTCAGGGGTGAACCTTTGGCACATTTCAAACTCGGCACTATGTGTGTTTGCTTTCACTCACCAGGGTACATCTCTGTGACTCGCTTAGTGAGATCCATGTGTTGTCATGCGTCACACACTATAAAACACCACAATCATACCCTACTTTACAACTTTGCACCACCTGCTTCTCAACTTCGATCCCAACCTGCATCATTCCATGTATCCTTACATGTAGATCAACAAGGTGTACGGGCGGGAGACGTACACTGCGCTCGTCGGCGCACCGGGTCAGGCGAAAGTATACGTGTTCGAATACAACGTTACCACGGGGGCATGGGACGAGGCCCAGGTACAGCGTTATCCAGAGTTTGCTGTTGCCTCTCTTAGTCGTTTTCCTGGTAGCTCTCTTAAGAACATGATTCCTTTGGCATTGAGAGCCTTCAGATTGTCGCTGTCACCGGCATTTCAATGATATCTTACTGCTGCCGTTGCTCTGCATGCAATGGTTCATGGCTTACTGTGCACATTTTTTCGCACCGAACACACACCACAACCGTGCCTGTTGGAACGCTCGAACGACAAACCAGACTCTGGAAGCGGACAGAATTAACCTTCCCAACGACGGCTTCGGCGGGAAAAACGCCCTTGCTCTCGACGAGGATATTGCCGTCGTCGGCGCACCAGGCGCGGAGTCGGTTTTCCTATACTACCGAACCAGGGTGGCGGCAGGGGCAAGTGATGAAGATGAGGTCAGCTGGACGTGGGGACAGAGCCCGGTAAAGACGCTCATGTCTTCGGATTTCGACTACGATATGGTCCACTTGCTGAAGATCGTGCACCGACAGGTGGGGGTCAGGGGAGGTGCGACGGGGTCGATAACGATGACCGCCGTGTAGTTGGATGGATATTTTGGAACAGACAAGGGAACCGACGTCGTTACCAGCAACAACAACAACAACCCCTACTATTTGTGTTCCGTCAGGACTATGGTGCCGCGGTCACCCTCGACGTGACCTCTCGCACTCTAGCGATCGGATCCCCACTGGCCAACTACGACAAGGTCGGCACGGACGAACCAGAAACGTATGACACCAGGCCGGACAAGGCAGAGACAAGGGCCAGAGGCAAGGTCTACGTTTACTACTCGGAGCCCGCAGTTCAGGTACTATCTGTCGGGGAACTAGAACTTATGGTCGCCTTGGAACGCATGTGCCGCCGTCCTTTAGAACCGTAGTCACTTTCACTGCCGGGTTTTCACTCCAAAATGACGTGTTTTGCGGGCAGTGTCCACGTGTTTCCTTCTGTTAGCCCGCAGTTCGAGTAGTAGCTGTGATGTCTGGCAATAGAATGTCAGATCAATGTCGCAGATCCGTACTGGGCAGTTCACAATAGCTGTTCCGAGGGAAAGGTCTGCATCGTTTCTATTCAGGGCCATTAATGTGATTATTTCTCAACATCCTCATCTGCAACGGTCGAGCAATATTTCTACCCAAGTCATGGCCCTGTATGCTCACGGGACGCAACTCTCCACCGGGAGTAGCTCCGCGGTATCTCATCTGCGCGATCACCCCGAGGTCGTTCCTGCTCTATTCCACGGTAACTTCAGCATTCTTTGGAGGGTGCAAGACAAACAACCCTCAAACAAGACCTCGCCGCGTAGGCTGTATTGCGGTGATTGTCTTGACTGTTTCTGAGCGCTAGACGTCTAGTCCACTTGTATGTCGTAGTAGATGACGTCGTCAGCACAGACAGCGCCTTGCTCCTGGAAGCAAAACGGTGCCACAAACCTTTGTCCAGGTCAAAATATTTGCACGCTAAGTTTGGCCTGTCCCCCCCCGCCATTCTACGTTTGTGTTCGGTGGATCTTGGTTCAGTCGGTGACGCTTGGAACAGAGTTCGGTCTTTCTGCCGGGACGTTCATGTTGTCGCTCCATCACCGAAACACCACTTCAAACACCACAGAGGTGAGAAAACCACTTGCACGCACGGAAGTTAACACCCTCAATGGAAACACAGGTAGCACATTGTTCGTGTTGATGCCAGGCTCGAGTAAGAGAAAGGTGGGTTTTGCAACACTTTCTTCAGCACTAATTATGTTGGTGATGAACGTTTGCCGCGCATTTGAAAAGTTTGATTCGTCTATTCATTGGTTGAGATTGCATCGTGTCATATCACATCGAATCACATCTTTCGACGTGGAAAGTCAAGAAAGGTTAAACAGGCAATGCAGGCAGTTTGCCTATTTTCTTCAATGCTTGACATGTTGCATAATCAAAGGCGTCTGAACGTATCAAAGTGGGACGGTACAGTACTACCCATCCTCACAAAAATGTTGCGTATTTTTCGGCTCGTCCTTGTTTCTTGTGATCGTTGTTCCGTTGCAACCCCATCCCTTTGGCTTCAAAGGAGGCGTTGGGGGAATCATTTTCACAAAAAGGAAGGTCAATTGAACGACGCCTATGAATCGTACCTCAGATTAGCCAGCCTCGTGCCAATAGACCAGCAACCGTATCACGACGCACGTCGCACCATCGTCGCTGTTGCTACTGTCCCAGGTGTCGTGGGATGCCCAAGCTCTCGACTTCAAGAGCGCGGTGGAGGCATTGTCGAACGTGGAGGAGGTAGAAGTGACGAAAGACCAGTGGACGGACGCCACCGGTTTCGACTTCTACCGTTGGACGGTAGGCGCCCTCGCCATGAACCACCTTGTCGACCTTGGACAATAGATGAGGAAGCCTGGTCTACTGAGGAACCGAGTGCAGTGTTTGTTGAGCGAAGCAAATGTAGCTCGTGGGCGTTCTCATGGACTCGGCGAGCTACGCCCGTAACTGACCGGCACACCAACATCTCAAGTGCTGAGGCGTACTAAGGATGCTCCTTTGTTTTTGTTGGTATTCGCCCCCAACCCAGGTATTTTGTCAACATGAACTTGCGTATCTCCCTCCTGCAATTCAGACCACGGCACATGCTCTCGAAAATTGTCAGGTGAGCTTCACGTCAGAATTCGTGGAGGACCCTCCCCTCCTCGCCCCGTCCTGGGGAGGCGGAAACGGCTGCCAAGACTGCATCGAGTTTAGCTCGGGGTTCCCAAGAAATGGAGGCGCTTACGTTAACGTTAGCAGCGAGGGGACGATGGGGGATTGGGAGGAGCAGGCAGTGTTGCAGGCTTCGGACAGGAGGAGCGGCGACCGCTTCGGGGCCACCCTCGCCCTCGACCAGGTGCGAAAAAAAGACACCAACGTCGAAAACGCGAAAATGGACCTCCTTTTTTCGATAGAAAATCAAATCGTGCCCCTGGCCCTTGACAAGGTTAACAAGAAAACAGAATTCAGTTGGATAAGAGTTGTCGATGAGAATGGCGAGCTAACAACAGCCTGGGTACGCAGGGGTGGACCGATCCTCACGCGCTTCCTGTCGGGACAAGTACAGAGGGAATGCATCGATTCGAAGCCACACAAATTTTGCAGACTCCAGATGGAAGCCGTGAAAGCTAGTGACAGGGCCAGAACCACGTGCGTCGTTGTCGCTAGGTTCACAGTGTGCATTCATCGAATGCCTGAATACCTTCAGCCGATAGCTTCCAAGATAGCCATGCTAGTGCTCCTCGATATGATGCCGCCTCATATGAGCGAGCCAATGAACGGTGTGTGTTGGGATTACATCGGTTTCATCGTACCAAAGCGCTCACAGACGAACTCGCTCCACTGAAACACTTCGCACTCCCCTGCACGGATGAACCCCTTCCCCTCGTCCCTGGGTGACCGAACCGCCGCCGCGAAATTGTGTTCAGGAAACCCTTGCGGTGGGCGCGCACCACAGCAGCGCGCTCGCGGAGACCACCTGGGATTTTGAGACGGGAGATCTGGTGGGATGGCGGCAAACAGGAGACGCCTTCGCCCTCCAGCCTACCTACGGGGACAACCCTTACTTCCGGGAGAGCAGCCGTGGTACCGGAGGATGGGGCCGCCCGAGCAAGAGCCACTTGCGGGGGAGGTGAGGTTGTCAGGTCGTCACTGGGCTCCACTTGTCCTCCAAAAACCTAAAACGAACAATTAAATAAAAAACAAGCTATCTTGCCAATGGAATCATGCTTTTTTGTTCTCGTGGTGTCTGTACGTAGTGAAGATTGGAATTGGATACGACGACATCCAAGTTTTTCGATTGTGTTCCGGTTTCCGTGCCGCTAGGGGGAAGGAGGTAGCAGGATAGACCAGGAGGGCGGGGGCCGAAGTGGTCACAACGAAACACGTTGTTAGGAGCAATGCTAACCGGCAAATGTCAGAGGTTGTCCTCTGTGCTTCCAAGAGTGTGGTGGGAGCACGCCGTCACAATATACCGTAATTTCAGGTGGGTTGCTTCGAAACTCATGGCCGTGGTATCTATCTCGTATCTCGTGATTCAGAAAATGACAACGTTTTGCGATGGAAACATGCATACCTACCTACATACACACACATACACACATTATTTATGTATGCCTGTACCTCCAGGTATTTCGTGGGAACTTACGAAGCGCGACCCGGTGCCGGTGCGGGGGACTACACTAACCCCAGTCCCGACTATCGTGCGGGGAGCCACCAGGGGGATGGACCAACCGGTACTTTGACAAGCGAGGTGTTCACCATTGGTGGAGACGACGAAAACGAGGTATAACAGGCGGCATAAAAAGAACGTTGTTCTTGTTGATGTTGCCGGAGTCGCTGCGGAGGACGCGCAGGGCAAACACGGTTGTGTTGGTGTCGTCTTTGTTGACGTTGATACTGGTCGGAGTATAGCAAGAGTTGACTCTTGTTCAGTTTTCAAACTTGGACGTACCTGAGGGATTCAATAGGTCAATCCTTGTGGTTCTTATTAATTGCCGGTGCTGTGTTCGCATATTTGATCGCCTGTTGGCATCCCAAAGGGCTGGCTGCTTGATTTGATACTTTACTCGCTTTTAGGTGTCCACCATAGGCCTTCTCGTCGGAGGGGGTTGCGACGAACGCGCCGAGTACGTGGAGCTCCTGGCGGACGGGGTTGGTGTTGCCAAGGCTACGGGAATGTGCACCGAAGATATGCGATCGGTCAGGTGGGCACAGTAATGTTATCGTATCAAGCGGAAGGAGGGGTGGGGGTAGGAACGTATGCCAATCGATCTGATAGTACATCTTTTGTTGCGGAGAACTTCTAGGAATTGTTGTGTTCGTTGGTTTTGCCTAGTTCAATGTGTTGCTCAATCGGTTAGCGTAGCCTTCTTGATGCTCACATTCGCTTATCTTTCAACTTTCTCAGTAGGGAGCGGATCGGTAGGTCTATCTCTTCGTGTAACATCATATTCCACCGCCTCACGGCCTGAAACTGTGACGACCGATGCTATTCCAAGGTAATGTAGTCGCTGGCAGGCAGACTTCATGGCTTCAACGCGGGGAAAAACGAGACTCAGTATCAGAGATGACTCTCGCACACAGATTGTTCGCACAGACCTGTTGGGTGCCCCGTTTTGTTTTATGACGGCTTTGACCATTCTCTCATTCCGTCATTATCAGCTGGGACGTGTCTTCGTTGGCGGGACGAGCCGGCCAAATCCGGATCGTAGACGCTTCGTCGGCATCACCGTGGGGACATATCAATGTCGACGAGATCGTTCTAAGCTGGCAAAACCGTGGTGGACTTCACCCGGAGAGGTATACAAACGGTCCATGGTGCATGCACTGTACGGCAAGAAGAAAATTAGCGTTGGCGGTAAACAAACGGAAAGGGGAGGGGAAGCAGGAATATATATGGCCCAACCGACACAATCGGCGAGGATATCATCTGGAACGGTATTGTAACGGTTCCTTGGCAGAGTATTTTCAAGGGCATGGTGTCGGTATGGCACCAGACTCACGAAAACGGAACTGGTGACATATGCTACAGGATAGCTCGATAACGCCTCGTCACAAGAATGTGAAGAACCGGTGACGGTTTTGATTCGCAGTGTACGGAAGGAATGCCTAGGAAACCGGGAGAGGAACGGGGAAAACAAGTGTCGCATTCAAGTACTGCACGCAGTGATCGTAGAACGGCAAACATTGGTAATCAGCAAGAGGCAACACTATCCAACACAAGCGATGCAACCTCGTGAACGGAGTAACTGTGCCGATCAACGGATAATGAACAAGGGCCGGGATACCTACTCTCCGAAAACGCCATGCCACAAGTAAATCCGGTTTCTCCAGCACAATTATCGTGCCCAAGGCTGCTGATGGTGAGCTTTTGCGGCACAAAGGCGAGATTTCGAGATTCACCCAGCGGCCCCAAGTTCATATCAACACCACTATTACTCGACAAGTTTATCGATGCTCCGGAATACTTAACCCCTCCCATCCTCCTCCGGCGTGATCCGCTCTCCTCTCACCAACGCCATGTTTCTGTCACCGTCAACCGGAAAACTTGCGTGTGTTCCCACGTCTACGCTAGGGCTGCGAATGTCACTTCGGCCGGTGTAGCATCCTCCAAGGCCCACTATGTCGCTCGAGAGGATCACACCTCACGTGCCGGTGCCGTCTACGTGTTCTCCCGCCTCGCCACCTCCACCAATAACAACGATACGAGTACTTCCTCAGTCTGCACCGACGAAGATGACGGCGACGACGGGATCTACGGAGATACGAGGAGGCGTTACTACTGCCCAAGGGGGGGGGCACGGGGACAGGAGAACTGTGGGTGGGAGGAGTCGGCCAAGCTCACGGCGAGCGACCGGAGAGGCGGGGACTTGTTCGGGACGTGTTTGTCGGCGAACCACAATGCAGGGGTTGTGGTTGTTGGGGCACCCGGAGCCTCGCTCACCGGGCTGTGGCGGGAGGTATGTGTGGTAGCAGTGCGTTTCCTGACTCAAAGGCACGGATATCGAACCTGTGGAAGAGGTGCTAGTAATCAAGAGAAGGTGGAACCGACTGTGCAAGGACTATCCCAACGGGCGAGCGTGATACGCTTTTTTTGGTACAGAACGGGGCTGAACCCATCTGGACAAAACGTCGGCGAAGCTTGACTGAACACAACACACGTAAATGAAAGATATGTGACGACCCCACCCAACCCGCCCACCCAAAAAAACAACAGCCTCCAACGGTGTACACAACGACCAACCCCCACGGAGACGCCGAGAACACCCTGGCGACTCGCGTGCCCCTCCCGATGGACGAACGAAACGCCAAGCTATTCCAACTCAAGGGCGCCCCCGGCTCCACCCTGCAGGCTGGCAGCGGGGCTCCGACTGTTTGGCTGGTACGGTTGGTGGCATGGCCGATGAGTGCTCCTGGTGGTTTCTCAGTAGTAGCAGTCGTGGCGCGTGAGAATGAATGGGTCAGAAGCGTTTCGGCTCGTAGGTCTGAAAATTGAACATGGAGCAACGGTGCACCTCCGTTCTTCTTCACGCCGCAACATTGCATGCGAAACACAAAGCAGCTGAACGATACAGGGGCAAGCAGTTAGGAACGATGACAAGGGGCTGGGATGAGAAAAAAGGATTGGCATCAGGGTTCATAGGGCTAGGATGGCCAGTTAGGGATGTTGATAAGAGGTAGAGGTAGGATGCGGACAGAGATATCTCAATTAGTCACATACTGTTGTTCCTCGAAAAGCACACGTGCAACGTTGTTGACCCCGGTACACTCCCCCCTCTGAAAAGGAATCATGCCATATTGACTGTGATTTATCCAGCCCCTTTTTTATGTATGGACCGACTGATTTATTTTGTTTGGCAGCTGCAAGACTCCGAGTACGCGCTTGACACTTCCGACCAGGAGTTCAACAATCGAGGGAACGCACAGGTACAGTCTAGGGGTTCTCCTTCGCTCGGATGCCTTGTGTGCGTTTCGTCCGTCGGTCAGTTCACGAAAGGCCCAAAGCGCTTGTCCCCGCCCCGTAGTACATAGCGAACCGCCGTGACCCACTTGCTTCTCTGCTACAACTGCATGACTGCCGGCGATACTACTACGCCTCGTCCCTGTTTCCTTCTTCAAAGCGCACAGCTGTACGTCGAATTGTATTCGACCAGGCGTCAGGATTACGTTTCACCTCTTATTCAGCCGCAGTCTTTTTTTCCCCTCTACTACTTCTGCACCGCATATTACGACGACGAATTCACCCCGTCCTCCAACCCTCAGAACACATCAAATCATCCTACCCCCCCCCTCCCCCCCCCTCCCTGAACATTTATGATGCGCCGCGTCAAACGTCCAGGCGGGGGGAGTGTACGTCTTCGTGCGTCTGCCGGCAGAGTCGGCAGGAGTAGGTCGAAAGTGTGCGCTAGATCGAGAGGGTGACGTCATCGCCGGGGTGTGGCCGGGTGCCGAGCGGTTCAAGCTCCAGGCGCACGACGCCGTCGCGGCGGACCGCTTTGGAAGCGCTGTTTCGTACTCGGTGAGACATCGAGGGTCGATGCCGTTACCGTCTGTACGTTCGTCCCCCTATTACGAGAAGCTAGACTAGAATCTCCCACCCCAGCTCAGTCTCGTTTGGAGACACCCCGAATCCGAACCGGGAATAAGACGCACTCCTGAACGTAGGCTCTGGCAAAACAACAACGAAGATGTCGACTAATGCCTGCTACGAAAGGGTTGATGGACACCGGCCATAGCTATCTGCGGGGCTGTCCTACCGTCAACAACCAGCCCGCTGTCCCCGTTTGCGACGGACCGTCGAACATGCTGCCGGAGTAACGAGGGCGAAGGTTGTTCTAACTGAAGTAGGCAATACCGGAGAGGGAAGATGTGGGGGGGTTCGGAAAGGAAGTATTTTAGCACATGGACGCTATCGCTTAACCCGCATGCACCCACGCCTCAGTCCTCTCCCTGCCTCCTCTGTCCTTTCGCGTGCCGCTGGTTCAGAGGGCGGAGCGTGCCTTATTTGTCGGAACACCGTACTCTGACTCGTTCGGGCTTGACGCCGGGGCGGTGTACCAGTTCGACGCGGGCATTGCCGAGGTCTCCTTCACGCAGCCGGAGTTCAGCGTCGAGGTAATAGGAACATTCCTATTCCAAACATTTAGTTCTTCGTGCGAGAATTGAGGCTAGAGGGGCGGGGGGCGATGTACATTGCATCGTCAATTTTGAGCGCCAGCAGTGATGACTTCACGGGCAACGCCATCAGCAATGGACTGCGTATCCACTGACATCGATAATGTCAACAGGACTGACCAAACGCTCACCTCTCGTTGTTGATTGGTGCTCCTACACAATCCCTCGTGCGCCCCCGGCGACGCAGGAAGGAAACTGGCGGCATCTTCACGAAGACCCGCAGTACTTGGACGGATGGAAAGCGACGGTCCTTGTGACCAGGGACAGCGACCAGTCCGACTATTGGCTAACCGTAGCCTTCGCCACCAGCGACTTGACGGCGAGGGGAGTTGACAGCGACGCTTACCGAGAGTGCTTTGAACTCCCCGTCGGGGACAGGCTACCGGTGAGTACCGGCAGGTGTTGTTTTCAATGTCCCATTTAGAAAAATAAACGTCTTCTTTGGCGTTGTTTTGGTCGTTGCCCGCGAAAGTTGAACTTTGTCATGTTCCCGTTTTTTGTTCCCCGATGCCGGCAGAGAGAGAGAGAGAGAGAGAGAGAGAGAGAGAGAGAGAGAGAGAGAGAGAGAGCTTTTAACCAGTCGTCGACGATAGCAGGCTATTTCAATCCGAGGAACCGAAGGAAATACTGGTTGATGCCAACCTCGGAGATCATTCAATGGCTGATCGTAGTGTTTGGGAGACTTTAGCACGAAAACTTCCCAGTTCCTGTTGCGAACAGCCATTGGGAGCGAGGCGTATCTACAAATGGTGTGTTCAGTTTTTTGTCGGATGTACACGTACTTGCGTTGAAACCCAACCACGTTGTTTCCTACGTCGCTGTTGGAACGCTTCAAATCTCCCAGTATACGGGGTGGTACTTTCCGCCCGCGTCCATTCTCGAGCAGGTTACCCGGTTAAGATCTATATAGATTCCTGCGTCATTGCCAAGAAATTCCGGTCGAGTAAATATGTTTAAACTCTGGTTCTATGCAAGAAGGTTTTCAGGAGATGTCAAACATGTGAGGTCGTGTGTAGTACAACGTATACACAGACGCACATATGTTTCTAAACATCCTTTCGAGGAGATTGTGCCCTGTTGGTACCCCTCCCTTCATAGGAACGTTCGCGTTTTTTACACCGCGACGACAGGGAGTTTGTGGAGACTACGAGCAGACAGCGGGGGAGGTGACGTTTGAACCCGGACAGACGGAGCAGTCTTTCTTCGTCCGAATTATGGACGACCACTGCCGAGAGAGGTGAGAGGGCCGTGAAACCTTGTTTATCTGTCAGACGCTATATAATTGTCGTTCACTGAAAGCAAGGAGGGGGCGCGCGTGCAGCCCTTGGTCGTTTGATGTTGTCCGCAACCTACACCAAGAGAATCGGCGACTCATTTGGTTGTCTCTGCCGTACAGCTTCCTTCCGTTAATGGACTATATCCCTTCGAGAGGGTGGTAAAAAGCAACGATAGTACTTTCTAGGACTAGAGGTGACGTGTTATACATTAGGCTACAAGCCTTGCGTGTGGTGACGCGTGCACAGGAGGCGGGACCCGCACTCTACGCGCCACCGCTCTGTTTCGAGCACGGGCGATTGAGCTTACAGAACCCCGTGCAACTCTTGTTGACCTAGAGAAACTCCCTCCTTGGCGTGCAGAAAACAACGAGCTCACACCAGTCTTATAGTCTACACGATGAGGCAGCATTCACGATTATCGCCATTCAAGTGCCTTGGTCGACGTCGGAAGACGACAGGGTTTCTTAGTTTGTCATCCCCGTTACATGCTTTCTTCCCGTTCTTTATTTGGCGACAGGTATCCCGAGTACGTACAGCTATCTCTGAGTATACCCGGCGGCGGGGCACTGCAGGGGGAGCGGTACCTGTCGAAGCTGAGAATAGACGACGATGACCGAGATAGAAAGGAGTGCCCGTGAAATTAGGAACAAACGTTAACTCTTTGTGCGCCGTGGCTGCCCACCTTCAGCCGAAAAACATTTAGATCAATTTGAATAGAGCGCTAGATGCATGAACGGGTACTTTGTGAGCCATTTTGACCTTATCTTGGCGAACCGAGTCCCTTCCGACTGGCGATTGTTTTCATCTGTCGGTTGGCTGAATTCGTTTCGGGTCAAGTGAGAGTAGACTTGGTGATGTTAGAAAAAAGACGTAGGTCTACAATAATACCTTGAAAAAGTTGAACGAAGAGATCCTTCGGGCCCTTCTTGTAGCAAGAGAACTTTCCTGTTTCTTCACGATCTCTTGCCTGCCTACGTAGTAGGTGGGACGTGTTGTCGCGCACGGCTTGGATGTGTTGTTGTTTACGTGCGGGGTCTCCCGATTTGTAGGTGTACTTCGAAGCGAAACATTAACAGACTCGACGTGAACGGCGAGAGATCGGCAGTCAGTATGTACAGTATTTGTGCCTAACCATTTACTTTCATGTTCACACGCTTTGTTCGGCAAAAGAAAAAGTCGATTGAAAAACTAAGCTTCATGCTCTATGGGCAGTCTGTTCGGAGAAAATTCTGACCTGACAAATCAATTCTGAGGGCTCTGAAGAAGGGTCCACACAAACTCCCTTCCACACGCCACCTAGGTCGGTCCCCATTTCCGGAGATGCTCGGGGAGGGGGGGGGGGGGGGGCCGGTAGTCTGTTTCCTGTATAAAGCTAGCCCCCCCGCGGAAGGGAATCCAGATCATGAACCAGTTTGCGTACGGGTACCCCAAGCGCGACCACAGATCGAGACATCTATTCTTCAATGCCATGATCACACGAAACGGGTACGCGCGTATGTATGCACAGACCTCCACGATAGCACCTAGCCTGCTCACAGAAGGCATGAAACTTCATCACTACGTATATAGCACCAATGCGGCTTGCTTCACGTGGGCCCAAGAAGAGCAAACTGCCAAACGTATTGTTTCTTTGGTCGGCTTACCGGGGCGGGCGGGCAGGTGTGCGAGAATTTTTAAGTGTGTTTACCCTTGCTCTGGGTGTCCGACAGCGAAGTGATACCCTCTCCTGTTCCTTGGGACAACACAGTGATGGCCGAGGATGAGGCTCTACTACTGCTGTAGATCCCTTCTTGAGGGCTACCAATGACCGCTATTCGATTGGTTTTAGTGGAACCGGGCTCACAAATGGTGCTCAGGTTCTGATGGTTTGATATCATGTTGAGCGTGAAGGTCTTAGTTTGCCAAGTTCTTGAGTGCGGGCGCTATGTGTGTGCGAAAGAGCTGCACCACCTCGCGCATGCACCACACACTACACACAATGATTAATGAATCTCGCCCCGAGGGCAACCAAAAAAACGCATGATTATTGACAAACAACGCCAGACAGAGGAGGGGAGGAGTACGTGGCTAACATGATGGAAAGGTGCAGCAGCAGGCTGATCTTGATGAGGCGGGCAGGTGTAGTAGTACCCTATCCCCTATCCACGCTACCTCCCGTGTGTCGATCGATGCATGTAAGCTGGCGCAACTTGCCAAAAAAAAATGGAAAATAATGGACATGAGGGCTACTGTAGTCCAAGCCGATAATATGCCTCACCCAATGGTGACTTGTGGGAACACTGAAGAAGTAAGTTGATACACAAGGTTGCGTGGTTCGAGGTGCTACCCCGCACCCCGCCCGCTAGAAACATACCAAGAAGCGGCCCTCTGTTTCTGCCCCAATACGGCTGCTGTTAGACTATTCAGTTGTCCGAGTCTTCCATGTCACCGTCAAAATTTGCTCTCGAACGTGACTTTGACATCGATCGATCGTTCCTGCCATGTATTCACCGAGCGTATTCAAATAGAAAAAGTCAAAAGTTTGTGAACAAACAAAACTGACAGGTCTCCTAAAAATATTCCTCTGATTCCTGACCTTACTGCGCATACACAAACACAATATTTTCCGTCTCCTTTCTGGTGAGGAGGGGAGGGAACAACGACAACAAAACAACTGAAAAGAAAACATGTAATGGGAAAATGGAACACCGAAGTTCGACCATGCTGCAAATTAAGAGTCAACTGTTGTGCATTCTTTTATCAACCAGTCAGGTCTTGGGCACGTCCGAGTGTCCCCTGCACGGTTTCAAAGGATTAAATTGGGCTGGGACTGGCCTGACTCTTACTGCCGTCGCGCCCCCCCCGACACTCGTACAAAAATAGCGTCGCTGACCTACTTCAGCCTCTACAGACCGACCAAAAAACTGTACGCGCACGCACGACCGACAGAGTGTACGCCTACTGCAAACAATGTGGCCAGATAGAGCCGCTGCCGGTCTTGTGTCCTTCCTCTTCCGGTTCGTCGGAGGGGGGGAATAGCCCGAGCCAACAACTACAAGCGGAAACCACGTGACGACAAAGCAAGCAGGGCCGACCAGGATATCGTTTTAAAAACAAATGGCGAGGAGAAGCAAACCACACACGCACGCATGCTTAAGCCGACTGGCTGCTGTCTCCACGCGAAAGGGTTCCCCTTCTGTGCACTACTCCGAGGTTTACACCCAACCCTTTTAGTTACCTCCCCCCCCCCCCCCCAAAAAAAATGAATCCAAAGCCTACTACTCTGCGCAACTCTGGCCTGTTTGCCTCGCGAGGGAAGTGGTGTTTTCTTGGACTGTAAAAAACAGAGAGAGCACGCACAAGTGTGTAGAGAACATACATGGCCGTCTCTCGATGACGTGCCCCTTGCTTGGAAACAGCAGCTATTGGATCAACAAGAGTTGTCAGGCAGTGAATACTAAATAAACTGTTGGCACCGAAATCTTTGAAGCGAAATCTGTCTCCCCCTCTCTTTGGAACAACTCTCCCGCAGGCCGCACACATAAAAAAAAAAATTCGGACGATGGAAAAGGAAATAAAAAACGACGACGAGGATAGCAGTCAACCAACAGTGAACTTTACACCGACTTCTTGTCTTGTGTACATGCCGGATGGTCGTTTGGCATCGATTGCCATCAAGCCGACACTGGGAAAGCAACCGCGAAAGCCGTACTGGATGGGGGGGAGCAGGACAAACACTGCTCGACAAACGTCTTGATCACCTCCGGGCAACCAACGAGACCGGTAGACCAATCATATCGACCAGTGAGGGACTAATCAAATCGAACCTGACTGAAAGCCAAATCAGATCAACGAGCCAATCAAATTGAAAGGACCAGATCGTGCCACAATAGCCGACAAATGACCAGCAAGCCACAGCAGAGCGCAACGAGAGCCAGGCGGGTCTCGCTTCGCCATCGAAATACTGCATGTGTCCTCAGCAAATCCTGCACTCCATGCCCACAAGAACCTCAGCTTAATTCTACTTGCGAGCGCCGCGCGCTACCCACCTTTCGCCTATACCAAGCTGTCGACTCGCGAAAAACGGCGCGAGCGCATTTGTACTCCCGCCACGCAATCCCAACAGAGGCCACAACATCACATGTTAAATTAAATACGACCACCGTACCTGACGTGGCAAGGCAGCAATACTTTACGACCTCTTGACATTCCGATCTGCGCGCTGAGCCGTCGGCCAAGGATCGTGTGGGTACACAGCAGCATCGACTGCTTGCTGTGTGGTGTGTGGTGTGCATCGACCGAGGGGGCAACCATCTCTGCCCCCGACCCTATTCAAACAAGCTGATGCGACCCACGTCCTGTCCTCGCTGTCAACGTGGAAATACGAGCTCGCGCTTCAATGCAATCACCCCCCCCCCCCCCCCCCCCCCCCCCCCCA